TATATATATATATATATATATATATATATATATATATATATATATAAAAGCAAAAAAAAAGGTTTTCTGTGACGTCGTCTCTTTTCTGCTCGCGCGGAAAAGGTGGGGAGAAGAAATTGTTTCTTCTCCTCATGCTAAAAAGGGCGATGAGGCGGCCATGCCACCTCGTTGCCTCGTTTCTTCTGCCTGCGTGGGGAGAAGAAATGCCGCCTTGACGCTCGGTTTCTTCTCCTCACGACGTCGAGGATTCTTTGCTGACGACGTTGAGGCCTCGTCGCCTTAGACGAGGAGGGAGAGCGGCGCCGATCTCTAGGTTCTCTTCTTCTCCCTCGATTAATACCACCCGGTAGCGGATGGTGACGATCGATTTAGGATGGTAACGGGGCGGAAACAACCCCCATCGATGGTACCGCTCGGTAGCGGGCAGTCCATGTACCAGTTTGTTGGCGGACCGGTACGTACCGCTTGGTACGGGTGTTATTATTTGAAATTATAATCCTTGGTTAGGACTATGATTTGGAAGTCTAGATGAACGTCTCAAAGGTAGCATTTCTTTTCATGGTATTGGTTTATAAATTCATGTTCGAGCTTTATTAGATGCTTGTTGCACCTTATTAATTATGCTTTGCTTGTTGTGTAATTTCATATGCAGAGAAGCTTTTAGTTGCACCTGTCATGTTATCTTCGTTCCCTTAAAATACTAGGAATATTTTAATTCAACTCCATGATTGTTGTATGTGTATTGTTCATTTACCGTAGTTGAATTATTTGTCCTGATTGGTGCCTTCGCATATATGTTGGTTGTATCGTAATAAAATGTGATTCTTTGTTTTTTTATGACTTATGTGCGCCTAGCATGTATGTGTTGATTGTATAGACTGTGTGTGTGTGTGTGTGTCTGCATCTGTGTTTATTTCATTGACGTAAGTGGTTCAAGAAATCATTTAGAACCCTTTCTGCTTTGCAGATCCATACATTTTGAACCTAGTGTAAACCACATATCTATAATCACATGTTCAAGAAATTACTTGCTTTGACTAAGAGATATATTTTTTGCTTTATGGTAATAGACAGAAAGAAGGGCTAGGATTCGGAAGCTTCGGCTTGAAGAGGGTGCAAGAAAGGCAGCTGAGGAGTTAGAGAAATGTATTTATTCTAAGACACAAAGAAACTGCATTCAGAATTGGTCGTTCAAAATTTTCCCTGCAATTCACTTGTATATAAATTTCTGTGCAGATGATCCATCTAAAGATCCTCATGTCACTGGAGATCCATATAAGACATTGTTTGTAGCAAGGCTTGTAAGTCATTTGCATTCAAGGGTCATCTCTATTTGTTCTTTTGTTTTGTGTATCATTTGTCAAAATCCTTTTGCAGAATTATGAAACCACTGAACACAGAATTAAAAGGGAGTTTGAAACTTATGGACCAATTAAGCGGGTAAGTATATTGGATTGTTCCTTTTGGGAGCTCATGATATCGCTCTCAACTTGGGTAAGGTTATTAATAATTTCATTGGCCCTAAGGGAAAAAAAGTGTCTAAATTTTAAAAACTGACTTGCAGAAGTCATTATATTTTCTGTATTTCTCAGAGTTTTTATTTCAATTTTTGTTTTTTGTTGGATAAATATTCTTCTTCAGTTCTAATCATCAGAAATTTAGCACCATGCATTTCTATATTGATATTAACTAGCAATTGTTTGAATTATCCATACATTTTCTTCCTCATCATTGCCACTCCTCTACCACCACCATCACTTGGCATCTGCCTTCAACACTATCCAGCAGTATACATCTTCCTATCAACACCACCCCCTCTATCAACAGCGCCAGCAGCAATGGTGAAGACAGGTTAGTGATCAAGTAATTGGTAGTCCTGGTGGTAGACATGGTGTAGTTACTGGGGGAGGCAGAGATGGTGGTGGAGGTAGGGACAATAGCTATATTGGAATTGGGCATTGGGCATTGAGCAGATAGCCTAGGTTAAGATGGTGATACGAGTGGCCTTTTGGGATTGGAGTTCATATGAAGAAAAAAGGAAAAGATAGACTGAGGTAGGGTTGAGGTGAAGGATGCAGCCCTTTTTTATATTGGGGACGGTTGGGCTGGGGGGGGAGCGGGGGAAGAAGAAGGCATTGATAGTGTTGATAGTGGGTGCAGCAATTAGTGGTGGTGAAGGTAGTGTTGTACATGTTGGGGCTGCAATCGAGTAATAGTGTTGGTGGAACAGTGACATATTATTAGTCATTAAACATTAAACTATACAATAGTAGAATATAGTAATTACATTGCAGTACAGTCAAGATGTCTAGAAAACTGGGTAATCTTTGATTGTAAATTGTAATACCTCGGAAGGTATTTACTTAGTTTCCTTAATGAACTAGCAAGGTAAGAAGTTAAAGATAAAAAAATTAGTTTATAATAATTGATTCGCATGTTCATTATTGTAACTGTTTTTAAGGAAAAATATTTACTCGTTTACTTGTTTCACTGTAAAAATATTGGATTTTTAGGCAAATTGAGTATGAGGACATGATAATTACTACTTAAATGTTGGTCTGGTTACAAGTCTGTCATCTAGCTAGCAATTTTTAATATTTTTGTTGGCTTTACTAGTGTGCTATTTTGAGATAACAAATGGTGATACAAGTCTCCATTTTGCATGTTAAGATGCATATTGGCCCTTGTAGTGGATTGCATGATGTTTTTGCTTCGTACATGGAATTTTTTTGATGAAATATGAACTTCCTTCAATTTAAGTTGTTTTTAATGGAATCTTGGTGCATCAGGTAATTATGGTAGTGTAAATATTTTTTTCTATGTTTACAATCTTTTCCTTCTTTTAAGTATGATTGTTAGTATCAATAAGAAACTTCAAAATCAATTCACAGCAAAGGTATAAGAAGAGGTATATGTGTCATAGAAGGAAAATTGAGTTTATCTGATATATGATTTCTTTAGTTTCTTGGTATTTTCTTGGTCACTAGCATCATCTGAGGATTCAGAACATAATTACTTGGTGAAGAGATCACAGGTAGTGGCAGGTAAAATCTCTGGGTCTATGTAGGTTATCCTTTCATGTTTCCCTTTTAATCTTGTATTCAAAGACCATTTAGATGGCATCCTGCCTTTTAGCAACTGGTAAGTGATATTCTTTAATTATCAATATCTGGGAAGAAGCAGTCTATCACTGAACAAGTTTTCCTACTGTTTATTCTCTGTCAAAGAACAACAACGGTCTTTCCTACATGGCGCCATAATCGTGAGCAGAGTCTTCAAGCTGTAAAGGAAGCTTACCCCTTCCCTTTCTCCCTTAATTTTCCTGTTTCTATCCAAACATATTTCTGGATTCTTCATCATCCAAGTTGAAGACTGTGCAATTTTACTGTCACTAATAATTTTACTTCTGATTTTAAAGGCCAAATGAGAATATACCTTTGATTGGGAGTATTTTCTGGTACATCAGTATCTGTTTATATTTCACTATTTATAATATCCTTGGTAAGAAGACCATAAAACTATTTGATTCGTCTGCTAAATTGGGAACATACACCAGTTTATCTGCCAACTCAATCATAAGGTGGTGATGCATCTCCCATGGTGAAGCTGTATTTTGAGAGGTGAGCACGGCTAGTGAGGCGTGTTGCCTGCTGTCGTGCATTTTAATAGGATATAACATAAAATATTTGCCAATAAGCCTCGTGATATTTTCTCAAGTATATTAATTCGACTCCTTTTTACTTTACAGTTATGTTTCTTCTACTCTTTAACTTCCAGGTGCGGTTAATTACTGACAAGGTGGTGAATAAACCTCGAGGTTATGCTTTTATCGAGTACATGCATACACGAGATATGAAAAGTATGACTACAACTGGCTTGTAATCTGAAAAGTTTTGAAACGTGGCATACATGGATTGTGGTGACTGCAGCCTAATTCTCTACATTATGCAGCTGCCTACAAGCAAGCTGATGGAAGGAAGCTGGATAACAGAAGAGTTCTTGTGGATGTAGAACGTGGTAGAACTGTTCCAAACTGGCGACCTCGAAGATTGGGTGGTGGACTTGGATCAACCAGGATTGGAGGTGAAGAAGCAAATCAGAAGCATTCTGGAAGGTAATTAAAATTACTTTTCATTTGCCTGCAATGTTTTAGTTTTAATTTAGCATGAATTTTGTGTTCTATTCCCATGGCTTTGGTGTTGTTAGTTTGTGTCCCTTAATTTAGCATAAGGGATAACTTATTCGGTAGTACATTCTAACTTACTGTTAGTTTTAAGAATTCTTTGGGTGTGTTATCTTTTCTATTTATATGAATATCTTGTCTTATCATGTCAAAAGTTCTAGTTCAGTGTGTGCCCTTCATCGGTTGATAACTCAAGATATGCATTTGAAAGCCTGCCAGTGGTACAAATTGAAGCTCTAAATGAGCTGCAGCTTTGTAGGTGTCTCATGGAAATATGTTGTTCGGTTCATAATGGTAAACACTACACATTATGATGCAGCATTCATTTGCCAATATCTTTGAAGAATGTAGTTGAATGTACAAAATTTTTTGCCAAGAACTTTTCTCATCCTGTGTGACTTTCTGGTAAATGGGGTCCATTGATGGGGTTATAATAGCCTCATCTGTGGGTCCAAGTCAGGTTTATGAGTAGAACAATGATGGATGAGAAAGTTTTTAGCATGGACAAAACCTTACATATTTCTGGAAGGCAGTAGGTTTATTCACATCAAGATAAAGAGATTTTTCATAAAGGTGAAGTCCATTTTATTTGATAGATGTCAACCCCTTCAAAGTATTAATTTACATGTATACCACTGCGAACTAAATTTATCTACACCATTTCTTTTGTGGATAATAGAGCTTGATTATCAGTTTACATGTAAACTTACAAAAATAATCATTTGTATTAAACCATTGGAAGTTCCACTTAGGGGAAGGTGAGAAAGTGGGGTAAAATAGATGATGAGGTAAAATTACAATTGTTCGTACAATGCTTAGCTTATAAAACATGATTGAGGGTAGAAAGTTCATTTGGTTGTTTAGGTTGGAAGTAACTTAGATCTATTGACAACATGTGGACTGGTTGGAAGGTGGTCTGAGCGTTCAACGTACCTCCTAAGGTAAAAATGTTCATTTGGAAGCTTATTTTTCATCGGCTCCTGACTTCATCTTGGATGTCAAGAATTTATCATTCTCAAATGCCTCCATGCGACATCTACAACCTATTTCATGATTCAATTTTTCATATTTTCTTTACATGCTCCTACGCATCCTCTTTCTGGAGATTGGTGGAATCTAAACTCAATTATTCATTCAAATTCTTTAATTCTTGGGAACGCGATGCTTAGATCAATGAAGGATTGGATCTTGACAAGGATTCTGGTATTTTCCCATGCAGTTTAATTGCTAACTCTTTGGTTTCTGTGGATCAATCAAAACAACCTATTGCTTTACGACTGTCATTCCATATTGCTATCAACTTGGTATCGTGCTCTTGCTATGTCCAATGATTATATGATTCAACATAAGTTTGAGGAGAAACCTAGATCCTTGCCTTATATTTCCCAAATAATCTCTTCCAATCTTGGTCACTATGCTGAATGTGATGGGTCCTTCAATCCTTCCTCCGAGTTGGCTGGTCTAGGTTATACTGTTTGAATCACTATTGGATCCGTTGTTGTTGCTGGATGCAATTTTGTCAAGGTTTCCTCCCTTGTTACTGCTGAATGTCTAGCTATTTTTCACTGCCTCTCAAGAGCTGTTTAGGAATTCAAGAAGGCTTTAAAGACATTTGGATCAAAACGGACTGTTAGCTTATTATACTTTGGCTTAATCATCCAGCTTCTTCGCCATGGGTAGTTCGAAATATTTTGATCAACTTAATAACTTTAGCCAAAAGTTTCAATGTTATCTCTTCAGCTTATATTACTCATGACACCAACAGCGAAGCTCACATATTGGCTAACTTGGTGCATTGTAGAAAGATCTCCTAGATGTGGGGTTGTGATCTTCCCACTAACTTTTGTTCAAACATGTTACTTCACATGTTTGAAGATGAATAAATGATTTATGTTTTAAAAACAAAAACTGAGACTTAACTAGGATAGTATGACATCTATGGACAGGTTGTAACCACAAGGACAAGTGGTGAAAAGGAATCTGATTTATGAGAATTGGTATGCAAATCAATATCTTCAAGCAGTCAATAAGCAATTAGTCAATTTTAGAGGGTTATATGTACTTATCAGAAAGCTTAGATCTTTTCAGAGACGTGGATGTGATCTTTTATTGCATGTTTGTCATTTTCATTTACCATTTTCTTTTCTTTTTCCATCTCATTGATGTTTTACATATCCTTGAAACTCAGTGTAAATAATCTATAAAATCAATATATGTGGAAATTGTTAGGGAGCTTCTGACAAGTCAAATTCTTTTTGTGTCTGCCATATGTAGTTTCTTTCTATCGAAAAGTGGATAGCTGGTTCAACAGCTTATAACCCTACTCTGGTATATAAACTTTTATCTTCTGTTGACCAGGGACCAACAGCAAATTGCATCAGGAAGCTCCAGATCAGCAGAGCCCAGGTCTGAAGATGTTCGACATCTTGATCGGTAGAGCTCCTACATATTATTTTTAAATTAATTATGCAAAGCATACATATTAAAATTGCATGTGTTTCTTTGCTCAGAACAAAATTCCTTGTTTGCTTCTCTTTTATTGTATCTAACAGATTAAGTTATGTTCCAGAGATAGGGAGAAATCACGAGAAAGAGGCAGAGATAGGGAGCGAGACATGGACAGGTCTGGTGAAAGAGCACGAGATCGGGATCCAAGGGAAGAAAGGCACCATCACCATAGGGACCAAGGTAGAAACAGAGAAAGGGAAAGGGACAGAGAAAGAGAGAAAGATCGTGGGCGTGAACGTGATCGGGGTCGTGGCAGGGACAAGGAAAGAGATCGTGGTCAAGAATATGATCGTGAGCGTGAGCGTGAACGTGAACGTCCACGTGATAGGGATAGGGATCGTGAGCGAGATTATGGCCGTGCTAGCCATGAAAGAGACCGTGGGTACTCCATTGATAAGGATCTCAAATATGGCCATACTGAGTCGAAGCAAGGCAGGGAGAGGTCGGTAGCAAAGGAGAGAGATCTTGAACAGGGTGAACATGAATATGGGCAAGGATGGTATGATGAACGAAGCAAACATGGTCGTGAACGTGACTACAAACAGTTTGATCAATCACAGCAGTACGAGCACTATGATCGTGTTCATCCCCAGCATATCAGTGAAGCCAAATATGAGCGGGATCAGTCAAACCGACATGAGGGCGATTATTACTATGATAATGCACTTCAGACTGATGGCCATCACCATCAATATGAGCATCCAGATTATGAGGCACGAGAGGAGGGGGAGGCAGTTGGAGATGAATATGGATATCATCCTTAACAGAGATCCCTCTCCCCCAACCACTGAGGCTCGTGGTAACTGCTACCTTATGCTGGATGTAGATGTTAACATACTTTCAAAGCGTAGCATTTAACTCTGTCTTCGCTTCTCTTCGCAGGGATTCCAGCTGCCTTACATAGCTCTATTGCAGCAAACGTGCTTGGATCTGTTTCTTTCTCATCAATACCTGTTGTCAAGGAGTGTTTAACATTCGAAGTTCGATATTTCTTTATGGACTTGGAGGTAGTAGTGCCATAATTACTGCCTAATTCTTATCTAGTGGCGCTTTTAGTTGGGTTGCATCGCCTTTTCATTTGTGCATATGGATCTGCTGCAGTTGTGGAATTTTTGGGTTTTGGTTTTTGGTCAATGTTGACTGCTGCAATGTGGTCTAAGCTGTTGTGTTTTGGGCCACGTTGATAATACCCTTCTCACTTCGTTCGTTGCTCATGTTGTTCCAACGAATGGAGGCTGTCATCACAGAGTTTGCCATTTTGTGATGGATTTTGGGGAGGCCGGAGATGAGTTGGCTTGTCGTTCTCATTCGCAAGAGGTGAGTAGCAGTCAATTTGGCCCAAAGTATTTCTCCGCAAAAGTAATCGATTGTTAAACTGGCAACGAGCTTACAGACTAATTTCCAAATTATTCAAGTTTATTAAAGGATCAAATAATTAGTTGTCTTCTAGCTGTTGCTCGGCATGGTAAAATGTTCCACTTCTTCGTGCTTATTCGTTGATGGAACTTGATTCATTCGTTCCTATCATTTTTTCCTGCATGTATATTTTTCCAATTAATCTTTTCTTGTGTGCTAAGATGTATTTTTATTCAAATTTAGGGTTAATTTATATATTTTCATGCAGTTAGATCTTTTTAGAATTTTGGTTCCTAAATTTAAAAATTTATTTTGAAATTCTTATAGTTATTAAAGTAGAATATTTAGTTTAATTTATTTGATTATTAATAATTTTTATTAATAAAAATATAAAAATAAAAGATAAAAAAATAATTTTAATGTTTCAATTAATGGTGACGGACGATGGCGTCGCTTAGGGTTTTGTGTGGTTGTAGATAAAGAGTGATGGTCGTTTTGTGTCAACGTCGATACAATTGTTGAATGATCCTTTCGTTGCTTTGTGTTTGTGTCGATGTTGATGCAATTGTCGAATGATGAAAGAGTTGCTTAGCATTTGCATTGGTGATCCTTTCGTCGCTCAACAATTGTGTTTACGTCGATGCATATGTCAAAGCAGCCCTTGTGTCACTCTCTATCTATGTCAACATTGATGCAATTGCTGATGAAAGGATCATCGATGCAAATGACAAAAGGGTTACTAAGTGATGAAAAAGTCAATGGCGCAAATACAAAGTGACTCTTATCTCTCGTCATCGTTTTCTTATCTACAACAGTCACTCGTGACATTATCATTTATCATCACCAACATCGTTTGATATCATCAATTGTAATGTTAAAATTATATTTTTATCTTTTATTTTCATATTTTTATCGATAAAACTAACAATGTTAAAATAAATAAAACTAGATATTTTATTTTTATAATTATAAAAAATTTAATATAAATTTTTAAAATGTAAAGATCAAAATGTGAAAGAGATTTAACTACAAAAGATAATATATAATAATCCTCTAATTTATCACACTTCTTACAAAAAAAAAAATTTTAATTTGAATTTGTATTTCAACTTTAGCAAATATTTCTCTATACGATCAAATTATGACCTCTCTTTGTAGCTTGAAAGCTTGTGTCTAAGATGACGCTCAAGTAAAATTGCCATTCAGCGCACACAAATAGACAACTCTTTAAGGTTTATCAGGAAATTGATCAAATCTTCGTATCTAAAATGACAAGTATGGCTCAATCATGAAGAATAAGATACTACATAAGCAAGTTATGATGTAGAACCACCACAATCAAATCTGCAGAGATCCAAACATAAATCGATGCACTCGTATTATCGTGTCAAATATAGAAGGCAAGGGTTGGTCAAAACATGACTGCTTGATGTCATACATATTACAATCATCACAAATGCCAGAGTACTGATTCCTGAAATATGAAAACTCAAAAGTTTTATTTCGTGGCCGACAGAAAAAGCTTAAAACATAGGATATGTGTGGTGTATAAGGCTGATCCAAGTTACAGCCTTGGCAGCTCATTTGAATCAGATGGGTTACCAGGTTCGACCTGCAATGAGAACTTACATGTAAGGAAACCCCATAGCAATCAAATGTCAAGCAGAAGCAGCAGGGTGACGAGAGGAAAAAGAGAAAAAAAAAAGAGAAGAAAAGGAAAGAGTTGCCTAATTGGAAAACAATAGCCCAAAAATGCTTCAAAGACAGTGGCTGATATGCTTTATCACATGATGCACCCCTGCAACCACACTTCTTTTCACTTGACATTCAAGGAAAGTGGATGCATATAGAAATAGATATAATTAAACATAGTAGGAACAACCAGACTATATCAGGCCCCAGGTTCTTTTAAAGGATCTGTAAACCAGAATCCAATAAAGAATAAACATTTTGGAGAATCAATTAAGAGGCTAATACACCACATATTAAAATTGTAGATTCTCATCGACTGAAAAGCAATTGCACATGTGCTTAGAGTAAGATGCTAAAACCAGTATAAATGACAACTATTATTGTTTTTTTTTATAGTTACTCCTACCATATATAACCACTACATAACCACGAGTACTAGTCACCTACATTTTTCTGCCATTTTTATTAAATGTTAGTAAAAATATAAAACCAGCAATCTTGAATTTCCTCTTCAGAAATGGTTGTAATCAATAGCAATACGATAGTAGCAGAGGCATCCTTTATCTCCAAGTCATAGTCACAGTTAGCTGAACTCCTAAATCTCAACTTCCCTCTACTTCATTAACAAACTTTTGCTCCTCTCCAATTGTGGTTCTTTGTTTGAAGTTGTCAAATCGGTTGGAATTTGGCAATATTGGCAAACTTCAATTGATTTTGATTGATTCATAACTGATTTTTGCTGATTTCTGATAGGAACAAGAAGTTACAGAAAGTTGATTCATTCTTGGACACCACCAGCGGCACAAACTGGGTGTCAAATTGAAATTGCAGTGGTCAGAAAGGGTGGCCACCAGTGTAAGGATAGCAGGTAAAATGCAGATGGACAAAGAAGCAGGGCTGTGTTCTTCCTCTTTTTATTACTCTTATTTCCATTTCAGATGTCAACAAGATGAGTATAAACAACAAAATTGTCTACTTATTAAATTGTAGAGAGCAAAATCAGTAACCTCTAGTAGAGATTCTATATTTTCTACCACCCACACTGAGAATATTTGCCAATGCCCTATTTGGCTATATAACTATACAAATAGATGAAAGATGACACAACCATTAATGCTAAGAAATATAATTGCAAAAAGGATCCACCCTTAAATCATGTGAATTTTAAATGTGAAATGATATACTTGGCTACTTGCAGAAATTTACGTATTCACGCTCAAACACACCTCAAGGTATTTTGTTAACAGAGTGGTTGTGCTAAAGTTAAAGCCCTGAACAGGCCCTCCTTCTGTGCGAGACAAGTGCAGTTGCTTCCTAACTTGAGTTGCCAGTACCTGGAAGATTTAATGGTATAAACCAATCTCATTAATCAGAAGCAGATATGGAAAAGTAAACATAATTCACCAAATTAGGGTCTAAGTGAATGACAACTGCAAGCATAATAAATCCTACTATAAGAAGATATGAAAAACTTATATTCAAGAGAAAGCGGTGTCACTATACCTTCCCTAACTCCACACCCCACTGGTCAAAAGAGTTGATCCCCCATATGAAGCCTTCAACTGCAATTCTATGCTCATAGATTGCTAGTAGCTGAATAAAATCAAATGATAGCAGATTTATGCAAGGACATGCACAGAGAACTGATGAAGTATGACTCTTCAAATGAATATGTCAAAAAAATTTAAAATGATAAAGATCCTAAACTCAAATAACAGGAGAACTTGTAAAGTTGTCTGAACCTGCCCAATATTATAAGCATCAAATGAGGGTAATAGTAGACTCAGAGATGGCCGGTTGCCAGAAAAGGTCTGCAAATTACGATATTCATCATAAGGACATAAGATCCAAATTTGATAGAAAATACAAAGACTAAAATAATCACCTTGTGAGGAATAAGGTGGTCAGGTACATTCTCATGAAGTAACTGTTCTGGATTCTGAAATACAATCAAGTATTAGTAAATATAAATTTAAACTTAGATATAACAACCAAATCCAGAAGGTACCTTCCCATAAGCAAGAGCATCCGGCTGTGCAAAAAAGTTTGACATGAGCTCATCATGGTTACTAACTACTTCCCCTGCAATACAAAGATGTGGAAGAGCATGACTAATCTGCAGAGAGAAAACACTAACAAAAAGCCACGAGTCAGTTATTTTTGTCAGTGCCAATTATATGGTACCTTTTAGGTAAATTGGCTGCTGACTCTTGATTGAGCCTATAAAATCACAAGGAATCACTCTTCCCTGACAAATTCAAGAAGATTTTCTCATAGATCATTGTGAAAATAATATATTACAAGACTACTTGACATAATAAACATTGATTGTTTGCAAGTATTCAGAGATATAGTAGCAGAAAATCCACCTGAATTGTGCTTTCAGATATTAATTGTGGTTAGACAGTATGGATAAGTATGAAACATTGGGTTTCCATGCAACTTGTAAGATTTATAAAAGAATGATGAAGAAGGGGTAGGCAATATAATCAAAGCCTGAGAAGCACAAGCCGAAATCTGGCAGTCTGATTTGACCATGAATTAAGTTCAAGTACAGAAAAGCCTGAAAACCAAACAAAAGAGACCTATATGATAAATCATACTCTTGTAAACAATCTGGGGAATAAATTTCTGGAAAGTTGAATTGGGCCATCAAAAACCTTAAGTTGCTTGATGTTCTGGACTAGCACCTTGAAAAATCAGGCACACAACGAAACAGAATGCACAAGTTCTTCCACCCTATTGAATACAAGCAAAAGTTAGGGCAGTCCATCTCTTATCTTCCATTGAAAGGAATACCAGGTTCATAATGTGTCTGATGTTAAGCAATTACTTGTATTTATTTTTTCCCCAAGATGTTGGCTTTGAATTTATTTGAAAGTTTAACGCCAGTGTCTGTTCAAATCTTGACAAGTCTTGGTTATGATGATTCTAACAGGCTCTCATCTCAACATTTTTCACAAGGCTCTTTTTTATCTTCACGTGCATATTTACAAGCAAAACCTTTGCAGACAAAGGATCTCAAATAAAACAACCAAAAGTGGTCAAGGAGCCAGCCTTCCTAGGACGATGAGGATTCAAGATTGAGACAATGAGCAAATTTCAACTAAAATAAGCAGGATCAAGTATACCAGCCAGATAAGGAAGCGACTCTAAAGACGCCTGAAACCATTTAGTAGAAAATCCTCAAGAATTTGCCTTGAAACACTGTGTCACTACTATTCATTAAGAACCTTACTTGATGAATTAGCTGATAGAAGCTGTGCTGACCATTTGTTCCAGGCTCTCCGAAATCTATTTCGCCAGCTTCGAAGGGAAGTGGAACACCATCAATTGAGACACCTTTTCCATTACTCTCCATGCTAACCTGTAAGATATAATAACTCCAAAGATTAGCAAAGATACAGGCAATTGAAATAAAAAATGTATAGAAACAACTCAAAATACCTGCTGAATATGCGGGGCAAACTTCTCAAGTGCCTGAGCATAAGGCAAGATGGCCTGAAGAGAGTGATGAAAGTTTTTTGTCAGAGCAATATACAACAGATAATAAAGCTTAACAGACTAAACATGAACAATAAAACATTTCTTACTCTTGCAGGATATCCAAGAAATGTAACATTCCACACACTCAACAAACCTAGAAGTACCTGACTCAAGCAACACAAGAATCTGTTAGAAAATAATTATTTGGACTGAGATTATAAACATATAAATTTGTCGTAACATCTTACAGGTAGGTTCCTTTCAAATGAAGTGGAGTAGAAATGGTTATCAATGTTAGAAGCACCTTTCAGAAACCTTCAGCAAGGAAAGAAAAAGAAGTGAGAACATTCACAAGATTGTAACAGGAAACTAATCTTGATGTGTAATCCGTGGTCTAAAGTCTACAAAGTATAAATAACACTATCAGTTAGACTTTCTTTAGATTATTTATATTTTTTAGCATAACATTGAGAGTGAAAGAATTTGAGCATAACATTGGAGAAAAACAGATTGAAATTTATGATTAAATAGTCCAAGATTTACCATCATTATTATAAATCAGTTCACAGAATGGCCTTTCCAAAAGATGTCAACATATGGCACAGAAAGGTAGGTTCTTCATCATGGTGAGTGGATAACTGGGATATTCATAATGGGGCTTTAATATACAACATATGAGGCAATTGCAAATGAGCTCGATATGATGAAAAACGACAAAAACAAAAGTTCATAAACAGTCAAGCGGCTCACAGTATATAAGGTTTCTTCAACAACAACAACAAAAGAAAAGGTCATAAGTCTCAACTATTTGGGGTCAACTATATGGAACTTTTACCATTATTGAGATCTGTAAAAAGCTTTCAGCAATTTGTACAGTGATCCAAAAACTATTTGGGGTCGGCTACATAAGGTTTGCTCTTTCCAAAAGTTATTTTGAACTAACAGAAAGTATAAAAGGCAAGACTATTTGCTTCTATTGAATCATCATCAGATTAAAGGTCTTGTATTTTATTCACAAGGATAGATGTTGTATTTTATTCCAACTTCTTACCCATTTGCTGTCCAGATAGAATGGAATTGTTTCTCTGATGGTCAGTATCGTAGACATTCTGCCTCCAGCTTATATCCCCTTAGTGATTAATTAAATCAGTGAAATGCCTTCCTCTCAGAAGAAAGTTGGTAAAACAAGATAATACAATGATATCTAAGGGAGAAAATAAAATTCACAAAAATTGAAAGCAAGCAAGAATATTTAGAAAAGAAGATATTTGTTGAACTTCTGCTCCACATTGGCAAAATCAAGTTAGTCAAAATGCATCTCCTGCATTAATCAGCTTAAACTTTTTCATGACCCTTGTATGATCCTTTGTTTCCACAGAGATATGCTAAAATTGCAATTTAAAAGCACATATCATAAAGCAATCAAGGTTTCACTCAAAGTTCATTTAACTATGAAAAATTCTCTTGGTCTAAACACAAGTTTCTCTTTTAAAATCATTGCATTAAGAAAGATAAAGCATAAATTATCATACTTCTCAACAATTGGAAAACCATACTGGAGAGACAATGGAAGTACACCAACAGCACTGCAAACTGCATTAAAATTGACTTTGTCAACAGAACATCAAATAATTAAACATTTTCAATCATATGAACCACGACACGAGGATAACTACCACTATAGCGACCACCAACCCAATCCCAAAATGCAAAAGCATTAGCAGGGTCAATACCAAACTTCTCTACTAGCTGCATAAATATAACAAAATTAGGCAAAGAGTTGTGATGAAAGAAAGAATGAATGCAGCTGATACCCCTTTACAGTTTACACATTGCATTTTCTTCAAAGAAAATATATTGTAACAATCAGCAAAGGTAATCAAGAATATGGGAAGTTTAACACTATTGCAGCACAGTATACTGATATGGCAGGGCATGCTGTTTGGAAAACCATTGTTCTCGATAGCATAAGAGTTGGCCTATCCATGTGTTAGCACGACTCTCATGAATAAGTATGTGCTAGCCATGTCAACATGGAATTGCAATCCTTTATGATAAATCATAATATTTCTCAAATATTTTCGCGTTCAGGAACATTCTCACTAGTTCTGGCTTCTGTGTAGCCAATGACAAAAAACACATCTAAAATAAGGCAAACAAGTTGACATGATAGGGAAGCATCGCATTCAGGGTGAGGTGATGAAAATGGAAAACAAACTAGTAGATAGAGAAATATACTATACTCCGTTATTGCTTTGATTCTAGTGTTGAAGATCCAACGTGATATGCATCTTAGTATCCAATATCTCAGATGCTTTTACTTGGGAAATGAGATGGCATAGAATTATATGAAATCAACATATGGATATCATGATGTCGATATTATGATTGAATCCAAAACAGTTATTTAATTTTATAATATTCTGCACACATTGGAGCAATTTTAAAACTATTTTACATCTAAAAACTGACATACCAACATTAAAACTGGTTTTAATATATTCTTCTCTTCTTTCCTCTTCTCCAATTATAATTCTTCATATTTAAAAATCAATATTTATTGTGTTCAAGGATTTGGAAGCATTATTAAAATGGTGGACATATTTGTTTCACTATGTAAGAATTTTGCCAAAGTAAAAGAAAAGAGAGCACTACAACTGAAAATATAAATTTACCGTAAGATTTGTACTGACTGCCACCATGTGCTTTGCAACTGCCTGAGCCCTGGAGGAAGTGACAAAGAGTGACGTACCAGTACACAACAACTGAAACAAAGGAAGAATATTCTAAAAGAAGGTATTTTAAAAATGTGCTAACCCAAGAGCTGACGAGATCCATTCCCTCATTGTTCTAGCATTCAGCATGGTTTCAGCTGTTGTAAAAGTCTTTGAGACGACCACAACTGTATTAGCCAGTGACCACAAATGTAAGTAAAGAGGATCCATAAAAAATGTAAAGTGATACCAAAAATTTCCTTTTCAAAATAAAATGTTGTAATTACCTAAGGTAGTTTCAGGATTTAATCCCTTGAGATTTCTAGCCACATCAACTGGATCCACATTTGCAAGACTGCAGGAAAAAGACATCAGATATAGGTTGTGACAAATCATGTTTATTTACTACAGGAATTTACATCATTGCATTTCTGAATCCTGCATCATACAGAGAAGAATTATGCAAGAAATTGCCGATGGCCTAGATACCCAAAAGTCAGTTGAATACAGAGTCATATGCTGAATACAATGTTTAATATGCTCAAAATTAACATGGCAAAGTTCACACATGTTGTGATGCAACAAGGACTGTGACAATCTGTTCCTCAGATACCAGAACCTACAAAACTTGTCATGACCAGATGAAAGCAGCATTCACTTTGGGGGATCAACCTAATATTTCCTTGAGGCCAAGAAGTCCATTTTATTGGATTGAGCTAATATTATCTATTTGAGGTCCTTATGCTATTGTCCACAAGATTCACATTGGGTCATAAAACATCTCAATCGAGCAATTTCCTGAAAAAGTAACTACTACTCAACAATTTCTCTTTTACACAATTAAAAGGTATAAGGAGCACGAGAAGACATTCATTAGTGTATCCAACTTTCTATTTAGAGAGTTAGGGAAAACATAAATAGATTCCATATCCATCTCTATCTCATGCTAATGGTTTCTCAAATATCTTCAGTTATAGCCTAAATCTGCTTTTTTTGTTAGATCCCCCACTACAAATACAAACCTACATATGTGATGAAGTCTTAAAAAAATTATAAGTTCAATATTGGAATTTACAGACTCAAATTAGCTGTGATGATGGCATCCTGAAAAGCAAACCTTCTAAAGAAACAAAAGCAAGATATATCCCTTCATCAGAGTTCCATGCATATATCTTTTTATGAATTGACCACTAATTATGTTTACTTACAATCGCAGCTGTCGTCCTTTGGCACAATCTGCAGACTCTGGATCTGAAAGATTTCAAGATACGATGACTTGTAAGAAAGCTGTGTCCATTTATTTTGGAATTGATGGATTATCACCTTCGGAAATAGCTTTGTCAATGAACACATAGGTAACAATGATTTACCTGTCTGAAGAGCAGTGTGCACAAATAATGGGCCTAAAAAGCTGCCACCAATACCAATGGCCACAACATCTTTTAATGCCTTCCCTGTCGCTCCAACCTGAGACATTTACTAATTAAAACCAAGGACTGGTGTTTTAGAAATGGAGATCAAGCAATTTGGACATGCTTCTTACCCAAGATCCACTTCGCACCCGATCAGAGAAATCTTTAATCTTGTCCAAGACATCCCAAACATCAGGTACCACATTTTTCCCATCACTGCAAATAACTTTATCTCTTGGAGCTCGCAAAGCAATATGCAGAACGGACCTATTCTCAGTACTGTTTATCTGAATAATGTAAAAGATGAGAGTGACAAAGTTCATCAATGACTATTCATCAAACTTATTAAGCCTGTAGAATAAGAACAATCCACTTTAACATTGTTATAAGAAAAAGTAAAACTAAAAACCTTAACTGACTAAAAGTAAGCTCTATTTCTGCCTAAATTTTATGGCAGGCCAATCTAGAAAATCTACTGAAACTGATTCAACAACCATATAAAGGACCTCTATTCTTCTTCTAGAATCAATTTGACATCATAAAACCAGGAGGAAATCCCTCCCAATAACAAAATTGCAAAGCATTATAAGAAATTCTTCACAGAAATCACAGCTTGATGTTGAGGAGGCTACACGGAATAAGGATTGACAAATATCTACTCACTAAAGCTAAACAAAAATATCTAGACATCAAATTATGTGTCCGAAGGTTCTACTTACGTGCTCTCCATTGTACATGCTGTCAATTTTTTTCCTAAGATCCGCTGCCTGCAACAATTCAATGGATCAAAAATAAGAGAAATATCCTAATACTATGAATGTGAATGCAGAATTTCCCACCTCTGCTAGTTTGAAAAGCTTTTCTGTAGTGTCAAGGCGAGCACGTTGCCGTGAATAGTCCAAAATAATTCCATCAAACTCTCTGTTAAATGGGTTGAAAGCCACATCAACAAAGCTCAAAATGAATTAGAAGTAGCAAAAGACACATATGGTTGATGGTAGATGACACAAATGATGAGTATCATACACCATCATCGACTGGCACCGATCGACGTCATTCATCAGATCTCGTAAGTGTGTCTTTTCTATCACATTAATATGTTCCTGCAGAATGACAGAACATCAACTTGGTGCCATCCATGAAAGTACTTAGGCCAAATGACACCAAAATATTGATAAAATTCCCACCTTCAAGTCCTTCCATGGTTCTGTGTCACATATAAGAGCTGTCGAAGCCATTACCGTCTGAAACAGTACATGATATCATCTTATCACCTCGTCAGTGTGGAAATATAATGCTAAATTATGCCTTCCTTTTGTGAATTCTTAAGAAAACCATGTTGTGAAGTTTGTTAAATATGTTAAAGAGCAGCAGATAATGCACAGAATCTGAAATACGAGAAAGGTGCTCAACAGCTCTGGAAAAGTGACCGCATTGATGACAATCTCAATAATTGTACATTTGACTGGTTAACAAAAGATATTCCTATAACTGATCAATGGAAGAATGCCTTAAACATATTCAACATGAAAATAATCTCACTTCAAATTTTAAAGCAGAGGGCAGACTCATCAACATCTTTAAAAAGGATTAAACTTTTGACAGCCACCTAATTATAAAGAGAAGAAGAAAGATATTCTACACATCATCAGCCAGGATTACGTTAATGGGGCAACGAGTCAGATCGAGTCTTTTCACTGTTAGGAATTAGCTAGATAGATTCTTTTCTAATCTAAAACTGACTCTTACTAAATTTAAGATACGACGCCGCTCAAGTCCGACTTTGCCTGCAAAGATTTAAGTAAGAACACCCCAACAATTGCACGAAAAGAAAGGAATAAATTGATATGAACCTCGACTTCAGAATCCGCTCGAGACTCCACAATCCACGTCCTTGCCTCCTGTGTTTAGATCAGGATTTAACGAGCATGAATAAAGACTAAAAAGGGAAGAGAATTGATGGAGAACAGAAGAAACAAGAAAGAAGAAGGCTTGCGCGTAATCCCAGTGGAGATCAGATGGAGGAGAGCACCTCTTCCACAAGAACGCAAGAACCCTTTTCCGGATAGCTCGTCGATTCAATGCACTCGCATCGCCATCGTTCGTGAGACCGGGGGCGGCTTAAATGGCCGGGCTGTAAACGTATCGGATCGAATCGGACCGCGTCCATTCTTGTCCGATCCGTCTCTCAAGAGATCCGATAATAAGCTGGCTTATCTCTTTGGTTTGATGCAAAGAGGCTTAAAATATAAGAGAAGAAAGAGGACAACTGAAGGGGAAAATAAATTAGGATTGGGAACATATTTATTCGATTATCCAAATAAATTTAGATACTTGAATATTATGTAATCACCGATGATTTTTTTTTTCTCCTTTAATATAAATTAATTATCATAAATAATAATTTTTTTTCTATTTAAATTATTAATTTCCTTATTTGTATAATATAATTTAAAAATAATTAAAAATTTTATGAATCAATTAAATAATTAATTTATTTATTTTCTAACAAGTGATGTGTTTTTTAGAAAGTAAATAGTTCAAATTATATTTTTGTGTGTGAGCCATAAAAAAATAAATATTTAAATTTAAAGATATTTTTTTCTATAAATTATGAATAATAAAAATAATAATTTAATTTAATTTATTATTTGTTTATAAAATAGGACGTGACATAATAGTTGACATTCCTACCTAAAATTACGGTAGTTGAATAAAATATGCATCTTATTCTAAAGTATATAAAAGTTGATGCAAAATTTAATTAGGTTTCTGCTGTCATCTTTTTTTTTATTGTATTGGGGACTTGCGCATGGCTGCGATGCTTGGTTTTTTAGTCAGACCCAACGTATGACTTGACAATTATCTCTAGAGTCGGTTCAAATTAAATCCAAATTGAACCGGTTCGATAGTTTTTCGATTCCAAATCGAATCGATAGCTGTTTTGGGTGATTCAGTTTTGGGAATCAAAATCGATAATTTCAGTGTTTGTTCGAAAGTAATTATATCAACAATAGTCTTAAGATAAATATTTATATTTTTTTTTTATCAATAATAACTATGGAGAAAAATTTTAGTATAAGACGACAAAGCCCATTCGAGTTGAGCCTCGAATTAGTTAAGACTCAACGGTTGGATCGAGAAAAAAAAAATAAAAATAAAATATTATCCATGCATACTATATTTGAGCAACTGCTCATCCTACCTCGTAGTCTTTGTTTTCTATCTAAATCAAATGAAAATTTTGATTTAGATAGAAACGAATAAATCTAAATTTTTGCTAGTACTAGATTAAAAAAATTGATATAATATAATTAGAGAGAGTTGTCTCGCACCCTTAGGTATTCTCTACCTATCCACCTGTGTCGATTTCGGGTATAAGTACCCTTTTGTTGAAGATCGTTCGAGCTTTTCCTAGGAGTATAGTATCGATCAAGACATTCGATATTGACAACGATTGATAATCTTATAATATTATCAATTTTAATCAATATTTTATGTCATTAGACTCATTACATATACTGAAATACATTCACTTTTTAAAATGACATTACGATAAAAACATTTAAAAAAATTATAATTTTTTACTATTTTAAATTATTTTTTTTATTTTAATTTTTAATAAAAACCTAAGATTCTATTTCAAGGTTACATATCGATCAATTTTTGTTAAAAGGTTAAATTATATTAAAAGAGTTGAGATCTCATTCTCTGTCACTCTTAACATTGAAATGGTTGGTATTTGATCGTAAGCAGCTTGTAAAAGCCATAACCACATGCAACATGCTCACTTGTTTCTTTTGTGTCTACATGTTAATCTATACTGCATAAAAGTTACTAAACCTTTCAATTCTAAAGATGAGACACACACACACACACATACACGCCCAAAAGCTTCAATTATTTGAACCTCCCCCCCCCTCTGATGGGAGCTGTACTCATTCTCCCTTTCTTGGTTTATTTGCCGTCCTTCCACGACCTTTTGTTCTTCTTTACAGCAGAAGAAAACACGCTTCTTTCGGCTACTCTTACCTCATCAACTTCCTGCTCCAGAGTAGACGCACGTTGCATAGCCTGCAACATCATAGAATCACAACTTTAGATCGTAACCATCGATCGAATTGGTTTTTGAGCAGGATGGACGTACTGGGATTGTCCCTGGTGAGGACGGCGGTCTTCCGGAAGTCGCAGTCCCAGCCGTGCCGGCCGGTGTTCTGGTACAGCTGGTTCATGGCGTAGGCCGCGTGCGATCGTACGGTGTTGGGGAGGTAGCACGCCCCTCCCTCTTGGATCGGACGGCAGTCTACTCCCTGCTGCGCGCACGCGTAGTCCAAGTTCGCCTGCAGGTCCTCGTCTGTGGCCTCCGCCTTCGGCACGCACCATCCTGCCGCCACCGGCTTCCGCGCCGGTGTTCCCGTCGAGTTCCCCTGCAAGACCAAATCAATGCTTCGAAGTTCGTATTTACCACGTACGTTGTCGCATTAACCATGCAAGACTGGCGTGAGCCGAGCAACCTTGTCCTACCTGGGTGGTTCCTGTCTTGGCGAGGCCGGCGTCGTAGACCGGAGAGAGGTCGGCTCGAAAGAGGCCGAAGGATCGCTCCGAGGTGGGGCCGGGCTTCAGGTCCTCGTCGTAGAGGGCGAAGATGTACGTGTCGACGGATCGCCCGGGCATGAGGGGCGTCCCGGCCATGGACCGCAGATGCGCCACCAGGTTGACGTTGAAAGCCTTGGCGTTATCCACGGTGGCGCCGGCCTCGTCCTGGTCGCCGCGGTACGGCCACCCTGTCTCTGCCACCACGACCTCGGCCTCCGAGAACCCGGCCGCCGTCAAGGCGGACTTCACGGCGTCGAGCTGCGCGTCGAACATGTTGGTGTAGGTGAGTTTAGATCCGCCGTCGAACCGTCCCGGGTTGGGCCGGAAGAGGCAGAAGGCGAGGGTCTCCGGCCGCGGGTCGCTCTGGTACGCGAAGTACGGGTACGGGTTGATCATGAACGGAGCGCCAGTCTCTCGAAGGAAACCGAGGACGCCGGCGAGGTTTGAGGTGAGGTCGGCGCGGAAGACACCCGCGGAGGGGGGCTCGGAGCTGGCCAGGACGGCCATGGAGTGCACGGTAGAGACCTTGATTCCTGCGGAGGGTGCGGCCTCGGAGAGCGCGGAGTGGAGGTTCCGCATCGCGGGGAGCAGCTGTGGGCCAAGGGACGCGTCGCCGGGGGCGAGGACCTCGTTGCCGACGGACACAATGGAGATGGCGGTGGCGGGGAGGAAAGGAAGGACGTTAGCAGAGACCCAGCGGCGGGCGGCGGACGGGTCGGAGGCGAGGGAGGGGATGTCGCCGTCGGCGGCGCCGATTATGACGGAGATGTTGGTGCCGGCGAGGGCGCGGAGAATGGGGGGGTCGGTGCCGTATAGCCGGATCTTGGAGATAGTGGTCGACTTGAGGAGACGCGCCGTCGCCTCCGGCGGCGGGAGATTGTCCGCCACCTCCCCATAGTTCACCCCGACGAACGACTGCGACTCTTCCAACCCCAAAAGCAAAAGAAGAGCACAGTTCAAGATTAGAAAAGGCTTACATTTTGTTTCAAGATAAAGCTTTTCTTGACCAATAGTCTCTTCCAGCAATTTCTTGTATTGGAAAGACGAAGAAGAACATCAAAAGTCCAATTTTTCATCAAAAACCTTCTTTAGTCTTGAATTGAAAAGAAACAAGAACAAACTGACGCAAAAAGACAGCTAAATATGTTTATTTCGATTGCAAGTCTAATGAAAGAAAGACATTTTATTTGACTTCGCACACTTTTCGCAAAAGAAAGAAGAACATGAGAGAGATAACAATTACCAGCGAAAGGGAGGATGAGAAAGAGAGGAGAGATCACGAGGAGAAAGAAGCGACTCCTGTACGACATGGCGTGAAAAGAGGCAGAGAGCTGCTCGGAGAAAGAAGCACGAAGCCTTAGGCAGGGCGAGGCGGAGGAGGACGAGACCTCCCTTGCTCTTGATAAAGGAAGAGGACCGTTGGGTTCAAAGAGACGGCTTTTGCGGGAGGAAAGCAGCGATGCCCGATTCAAGGATTTGGTGACTTTCCCACGTGCAAAGAAGCCAACGAAAGATGCCGGTAATTAAGAAGCCAAGGCGAATCCAACAGCCACGTGGCCCTGGTTTTTGACCACCCCAGAAGTACCACGCCGAAGGCAAGTGTACGTTTGACTCACTCCGTGCTCGGAGCCGGAAGAACTCGTGAATGACCCCCAACCAAAGGTACTCCCCTCCTTTGTAGGTAAATTTAGCTGTTTCTTTTCCTCCTCCTCCTCCTCCTTTGCCATGAAACAGGGGTGTCGGATGGGACCAGATCTTTGAGGTATGATCTCGATCCAACAACACATAAATTGACTATTCTTGAGAGGCATACTTGGTGTGTGTGCGTGTGTGTGTGTGTGTATGGGGGATTGGAAGCAGGAGGAGGTTTAAGAAAAAGGTGGTTGATTCATGGCGAAGAAAGCATAGCTTTCAAAAAGCAAGAAAGAAAGCATTCCATTCTAAAGTAGTTAGCTGGGAATTAGATACCTTGCTGTATTTTTGTAAGATGAGTGACTTTATCCAGCTGTTCTCGATCCACCCAGCAGCTCAAAGGTCTCTTCTGCAACTATATGGGCTTCAATTCAAGTAGGGTTAACCAAACTAAGGCATGCAATGTGGGGTAAGTGTGTCAGATTGTTTTGCAGGAATTCTGACTTCACAGGGACTGTTGAGCTGCAAAGATCTTCTAATTGAAAGATTTTCTACTAAGATATGCTTTCTACATTTGCTTTTTTCTGCTTCCACTCAGATAGCATGGCGATATTGCATCTATCTTTTCCATATCTCGGAATCTGTCTGTGCCTTGGGATTTTCCATATCCCATTTGCAAGATTCTGAGAGGGAATGTGTTGTCACATTTAAGTCAAGATTGTGCCACCTTGTCATGGACATGTTGATCTGCTAGCTGTTAAGGCATGCGACCTTCATGCTGTACAAAATCGACATGTGTGTATGTTCAAGAAATCTAGCAGCTAAATTTGGTTCTTTCTTAATTGTCAGTATAGAGGTTTTACATGCTACTTGTTTGCTAGAGTTGCAAAACAAGAACTCAAAGTCTTGTAATCTTGTGTCAGTCATCTGTGCCAGAGCCAAATGCTGATGCCCATGAATCATGGTCAATTTTTCCCTCCACCTCAAACAAGCAATCTTCCCTTTGGTTATCATCTGTTCATGAGCAACCGCTAAAGCATCCATTATCTGCAACAGGAGCAGTTTATTTTCAGTTCAAATGAACTGTATAATCTCATATTTTGGTGCCTCTGATTTGCTGAGGAGTTTTGAAGTTGTCAGAGGTGATCATCCACTGCTTTGTCAGTCCATCCAAGCTTCTGAATTGCTTTCTGCTCTATGTTGGCAAAAGCTGGTAATCACTATTTGGGGACTTCTCAAGTCAATCTGTTTTACAATAGAAAACAAATAAAATCATGATCTGCATTCCAATATGATTTTTAACAGTTTCTAAACTTAATCATTGTTTAATGGTTTCAACTACATCATGTGTTATAGCAGATGGATGATGTAGGTGAGGTGAATCCTGTCCATGAACTCCACATGCTACCTGATTCTGCACCTTCAAGTTCATTTATCAGGATCAACCTCTCAAGCCACTCAGCAGAAACCTGTGGATGACAGCCACCCAAATCAAGAATGCAAATGCACCAAAGACAGAACACAACCAAAACTGGGGTTTGGAGTGAACTGTGCCCTGCACTCCAGGCTTGAACAAAAGGGCCAATTTGTCTGCTATTCGAAGAAATCGACCTCTCACATGGAGCTTTGGGAAGCTAAAGCCAATGCAGCGCCTTCCTCCTGACGAGGTGATAAGAGTTCTCTTCTTTTCTGCTGGTCTGAGGACCTTATCAGGCCAATGCAACAGCCGACTTGAGCTCCACTTGACCCAGGCTGAACTATCTCTCTCTCATGCGGCTACCACTTACATGACCATAGCTTCTTTTGGGACCTGGAATGCCTCCAATAATGGGTGGCCAGAATCCAATGCAACAGTGGAACATATCCAAGCAGAACATAAACCAAAGTGGAATGGAATCTTCTCCTCTCAAAGGAAGGGTGGTGTTTTGTTTGAATTGCAGTTACGGTAGCGCACGAGTGTGTGTGGCTCTCTTTTCTTATCTTCTTCGGCTCCTCCGTCAGCATAAACACAACTCTAAAGCTGAAAGATTATGTGTTTTGGGCTTCCTCTGTTTGCTTCTTGTGTCAGAGCTTCCCTCCGAGTCATGTCTGGAGAAGAAGCGCATCAGAAATCCATGGCGGACTCGGCGTGGCTGGAGGAGCTGCAGTTGCCTCAGGTGCTGATCTCTGAGAGAGTGCGCTCGTTGCATGCGACCATCGAGCAAGAATGGGATTACCTCCGGCGCAGCGCGTGCCAGACCGCCGCCGGCCGGGCACTGTGGAATCACGTGATTCGTGATCCCCTGGCTGCGGTGCTTGCAGGAGAGAGCTACCTCAGAAGCCTCTACGAGAAGATGAGGCAGGACAGGCTTAGCAATGCCCGAGAAGTCTCGGGGGTGATTCTGGCAGTACGAACTCTTTGGTTCGATTCCAGGATCGAAGCTGCCATCAATTCCTTCGGCGACAGGGGAGCTCATCAGGTGGTTCTTCTCGGTGCAGGTCAGTGGTTCCTCTTCCTTCCCCTCAGCATTTGTTGGCTTCGAGATCAATGCTTAAAGCCGTCGCTTCCGCAGGCATGGATGCGAGAGCTTACCGCCTCAGCTGCCTCAAGGAAAGCGTTGTATTCGAAGTGGACTTCCCTGAGCTCTTGCAGATCAAGGTTTCCCTCCTCAAGGAAATGATGGCATCTTCCAAAGACCAACAAATCGTGATGATAGCCAAGTCCCTGGTCAGAGTGGCAGCTGACCTCAGGGAAGGGGACTGGATCGAGGAACTGCAGAAGCGTGGGTTTGTTCCTACAAGGAACACCGTGTGGGTGCTCGAAGGCATCCTCTACTACCTGTCTCACCTCCATGCCATGCAAGTTCTTGAGGTCATCGCTGCCAACTGCAACTTGACCCACACCGTCCTCCTCGCGGACTTCATGAACAAATCTTCGGTTTCCCTCTCCAACTCCACCTTCCATTTCTACAGTGACTGGCCAGACCATTTGCTGCCCACGCTCGGGTATTGCCATGTCAAGCTCTCACAACTAGGGGACCCTGATGCTCACTTTGGCTTGCTGCATGACCCCCAGAACCTGTTCAACAAGTTAAGGAGCTTGCCCAGATCCATGGAGACTCACCCGGAGGATGGAACACCATGCCGACGGTTGTACCTGGTGGAAGCCTCCGGAGGTCCAAGCCAGGATAGCTGATAGATCAAGAGATTCCAAGGAAGAGGAAACATGCATGTTCTGAGACATATACATAGTAGATTCTATAGTTCCATAGCTCCTCTTATTAATTTCCTTGATTCATGCAGAAACAGAAACTTGTACCTGTTCTTGATTCATGTATATGTGCATAATGCACAAAGCTAGTGGAATGAATGGCAAAGGAAATTGCAAAACAAAGTGCCAAATGGTGGAATTTAAGGGTATTATTCAGTGACAATCCATGGTGGTGCCACCAACAGGTCATGTGCTAAGTTTTATCATGAAGCATTGCTGGTGCCCAGTTATCCATTCATTCTCTCCTGGAAACTGATCATCACTTATCTACATTAAGTGCTCAGCCTCTCTGGCACTGTATAAAGTAACGACAGGTTGGTGGTATCAAACTAAAGGAGATGGATGCCTGCAAACTTTTCATTTCTTCACATCATTTGAAAGATAAATCCCACCATTTTATGCATCTGATCTTAGCCAGTCAGCACAGGTCGAGATCGAAGCATCAGGCAAAGCAAAAGTATTGAAACAGAAGTTGGTAGACATTTGAAAGCCCAGTAGTTTTTGCAAGGTAAAAGGTACAGGATTTGCAGTATTTAGGGAATCATCCCTATACAAGTATTGCTCGAATTCATATTTACTTTGAAGGCAATTATACAAATCACAGAACTCAACATTTCTGCAAAAGGTATAATGGAATCTGTTTCAAAGTTAGATTCTTGAGTTCTCATGAGTCTGTTGTCCATCTTTTGTTCTGCACATCCAATTTTGAAGTAGCATAATGTCAGATGCAATCTTTCTAGATTAGCCAACTCATGTATCGTCTGTTTTCGGAGTGCTTAGTTCAGTTCTTAGCTGGAGAACTCTTTTTTCACTTCAACCAAGTGAGCTATTGTAATTTTCTTAGGCCTTCATTGACTTTAATGAACTGATTACAGTACTGGAGAAGCAATGGTATCTACAGTCATACAAATTCCTTACAAGGAAGGACAATTTTATATGAAAACAATAAATGCAAGATTCACCATGTTGAACATGGTGTGCAAGCCAAACAATTCAGGTTGCTTTGACAAACATCATACTGATATGAATATTTTGGCATTCTGAATATTTAGCAAATACATACTGATATAGTGTGCAAGCCAACTGAATATATAGGGTTAATTTGATAAATAAGTTTTTTCATCCAAATAGGAATGGTAGAACTAACACAACGTTTTCAATGAAAATGAAACACCACTAAGGTTTTGATAAGAGCAATGGAGGAGGTAAGAATACATAAGTTTGATGATTGATTGATATTCCCTTGGTTGGCACAGCTGATACCGCAACGGGTTCTATACCTGCAGCGATGGCGTGGCAGAAATAGATTAGGACCTCCTGAAAAGTAAAGGAAATGATTAACTTCAGAGAAAGAAAAAAAACAAAATAGTCATTTGAGCTTGCATATGCATAAAAATGAAATTAGTCTGATCAAGTGATCGACTTGCGGCAGCAGACACCGTGCTATGTTTCATTTCTTTACAAGAATGGCACCTCACTGTTACATATATACGGTAGAATGATCAGAATTCTAAGTAGTCCTTATTCCCTAATTGAATGTCCCAAGTGCAGAAATTTTGTCTTCTTTTTGACCTTTACCCTTGCAGTATATAGAAAAGGAAAGTATAAGATAAGAATCAAACTACAAAAAATGACACAGATAAGAAGCAAAAATATTGACAAAACCAGATTTTAAGATGCTACATTACTAAGACCGATTTGTCGAGGCACAGAAAGTGGTTACAAACTGGAGCTGACAGAAATACTTTTCCAATTAACATGCTTTATGTAACAAATTCTCTCAATAATGAGACATAAACAATGCCATTGATTTGGAGACACACTTATCGTTTCTTAGAAAACTTTCCATTTTGACCATGAACTGCTAAGCAAGGAAGTAGCCTGCATTGTCAAATTACATGATCATCATAAAGATGCAATTTTTATGAATATTAACTGGAAACCAGCACACTAAGAATCTGTTAGTTTTATAATTTAGGATTGGCACAAACAGGGCTTCAATTACAGCTAACTGGACAGAATCAACTGAACCTGGGAAATGACTGTCCAAATCATAAATGAAATTCTAAAAACATTTTTTAATTGAACAGGTATTTCTCAAAACAATAGTTTACAATGAAGTGTAGATGCAATTGATGTTTAGCATTATAAATATCTTTGAGTAGCATGGAGTACCTTTCAGTCCTTGGTCTTGCAATAAAGCTTTGATGGTATCATTTGGAGAATTCTGATCTCACTCATTCTTATTCTTTTTACTCTTTTTTTTTTATTGAAAACCAATAGCAAAGTGACATCAGCTTCCTTGTGTGATGCAATTTAACTAATCCAAGATCAAAGACATATTGTCTCTATCACATTTGAGCTTGAAATGAATATCGATGTACTATTGCTTGACGATAGTGAAAATTCTACCTCCAATTTCATAATGCTATACTTATCAATCAAATGAGGTGATTCTTGCAATCAAATGGAATATGAAGCGTGTGTGTAATCATTCCACTTGTTCATCAAAATATATAACAACTGAGATAAATTTTCTACTGATACAACTTCTTTTCAAGGGAAAGTAATAACTCATCAGAAGAACAACCTGGATGCCAATCATATCTGCACACTAGCCATTTCTTGTAGACATCAGATTGTTCCCCATCAGCTTCACAAAAATTTCGACCTAGAATCCTACTAGGATTGAAGGGGAAACAACCACAAGGCTGAAGACCACAGGGACAAGCTCAGTTTGGGAGAGAAGGGTATTGTAGCAACCCATGAGACCATGCTTGTAGATAAAATCCACCTGACATTAAACTTGCATTTTTTGGAGCAGACCCCAAAACCTACCTATGTTTGTAGCATTCCTTATTAAGGAGGTAATTGTTGGGAGAGGTTCTACTGTTCATGTACAGTTCTCAGTCAGTACTGATTACTGTGCATCTCATATGAGTCAGAAATCACAATCCACATCTGCTATCAGAGATTATTTTGTTTCTAGGACTTTCTTAAGAAACACTGCTCTAGTTATTCTAGCTATGTACCTAAAAATTTGATCAGAAGCATGCGATGTTACTTAGATTTTTGAGGTTGATGTTATGCAGACATGATATTATAGACATTAAATCTTCACAAATGAATATTAATTCTTCATGGGTTCTACAAGAAACGAATTCAATAACTGAGACAGTAACTAAAATCCCTTGATGAAGCTAATTTAATCCTTCTTAACTCAAGACATGTTTCTCCAGATAAGCTGATGACACGATTTTTTATATTTCTCAAAAACAAAAAAAAGAAGTCCTAAGATATGGTTATTGGGGAGGAATGAATGAAATATACGACAGGAAAATGCTGCTTTTGAGCAACATTCCTTTCCATTTGTTACTGACATTGCACTTCAGCTTTAAGCAAATAGTTATTGATCTTTGTTATATTAAGTTGCCTCCTATCTCCCTGTCAATGTCAGAAGTCTCTGCTAATACTGTAAAGTATACCTTGACCTAATTTTCTTTAAATGTCATGGACCTCATGCAAAGAGAATCACTCCAAATGCACTGAGCTAGTGAGGTGTCTTCCAACAAATACCAGATTTGAGAATCCTCTTCTTAAACAACCATTTAATAATGTTTTGCTGCAACAATTCTTTTCTGCAGCCTCATTGCAGCCAAGTTGATAGAGACATACATTCAAACTCTCAATTAAAGGAGAAGTTCCTTATTCCCAGTTTGTGACTTGCTTTTCTCTTCTTCGATGACTTATCATGGCAAGATCTGATGGATTTTTGAAGTAATAACTTAGAACCTTGGTTGGAAAAGGACCGGAAAAGATCAAACCCACTCACAATTGAGAGAAGGTTACATCAATGCCTAACTAGTATCTCAGCATTATAAGATGATAGCTTACAGTAAGGGATGCTAGTGGAACTCGATTCACATTCTTTAGCGACACTGAAAGCTTTTCTCCAATTCCCTCACCACCAAGTAACAAAAGCTTAGTTCATGCCATCATCAGTGTTGGACATGATTTGCTTTTAGACAAGTTAATGGTTGACAAGAGGCAATCACTCCATGAACTATTAGATACCAATTCTCAGGTGCTTTATTTCGCCATGTTTGCATGCAGAGCCAAACTGTATGAGTAATGTGCCTTCCACAAAAGCCTGATGCAGCAGCAATCTTCTCTTCCTGATCAACCTCCACTGACCAAACAGTATCATAAACAAAGCGAACAAGTTAAATATTCTCCTCCATGATATATCACACTTAAGATGCTTGGTTACCTCATGCAGACTGATGCCTGGAGGCCACCATCTTCTGTTGTTAAACAACATCTCCTGACCCAATCTTATCCGAAACAAGCAAAAGAAAAAGAAAAGAAAGATGATCTCCACATAATCATGCACAAACCTCTCCTGCTTCATCCTTATATGAAATCGACCTAATTCACTAATAAAGTTTGCAGCGAGCTCTCTTCCAGCAAAGCATGATGTGACAATCATATGTTGATGAACATCTACTGGCCAAAAACTGGTCATAAACAAAGCAAACATACAAAAGATTCCCCTCTCCAGACAATCATGCATCAACCTCTTCTGCTTCTTGCATAAGATGAGCCAGATTCACTAACAAAGCTTGCATGATGACCCTCTTATACCTCATTGAGCTCGTGCATCAAATCAACCATGCATTATTCACTAAAAGGGGGTCTGCAGTGAGGTGTTTTCCATTCAAATTAACATGCACAAGCTTATTTACCTAATCACACTTCCAAAAGGAGTCAACCCTTGGAAGCTTTGTCTTCTTTAAACAAAGCTATGGTCACCCATACATCAAAGCTCGCCCTTTTTTTACCTAATCAACCAAAAGATAAACCTTGACAACCAAACAAACAAACAAACGTTTCATCTGCACCTAATTATTTACCCTTTGCTGCGAGATGTGTTCTTATTCCACTGAACACCACCCCCCCACCCCCCCTGCTTTCTGTGAAGCCACTCTTATCAACATGGCATAAAGTTTCAATTATGTTGCGAACCAAGTGGCGTGGAATCATGCACTTGTCGTCTCATCCAATTACGCGCAACAAGTAGACCAGGAACGTGTTCCTTATTCCTTGTCCACTTCCCTCTCCTGCTCCTGTTCGCTCGTCACAAGAGCCACACATGCATTGGTGATGAAGGCATTTGCTCACGCGCGCACTCGATCCACAAAGCAAAAGTGCAAACAGTTGTCGTCCACCAATTCTCCACCTCATCCAAACCCAAGGCGTCGGTTCCTGTCTCGGGCAGGCTACCAACCAACAAACGATGACTCCCCGTTGGCTGATCAGCGGGGCCCATTACACTCCACCAATGAAAAGTGCTCAGCTCCGCGTTATTGCGTCATTCCGTGGGACGGCAGACCACCGTTCGTCCCCAACCCCATCCGTTATTCTGTTGGGACTCCCCGCTACTTCAATCTCCGGCACACGTTAACCTGCTCAACTGCTTCCAACCGGAAGACGACACGCGTGTGTGCACCAGTGGGAACCGGCGTCTCGTCGGTTGCTTTATATTGTTCCGGGGGACCATCGCATCTTGCTTCTTCTTCTCCACCTCCTCCTCCGGCTTGCATCGATTCTTCTACTTGCAAGGAGTCGTCTTAGTGGCGGAGGTGGTGGAATTATAATCGTTGCCTCTCTCCCCACATCGGGAAGTGAGGAGTCGGTGGAGGCGGAGGAGGTGGGAGCGGCGCACCGGATTCCCCTTATCCCCTCCCGCATCCCTATGCCTATTTAATCCCCCAATAGGACGATGCGGATGCCGAAGAGGCCCCTTGTCGCCGCTCTCTACTCTTCTGCTTCCGCCGCCTCCTCCTCCTCCTCCTCCTCCACCGCCCTCCTCCTCTTCCGCCCTCGCGCTCCCCATCCCCCCCCTCACCGCTACCTTCCAAGAACAGGTCGGCAGTCCCTCTCCTCCCTCTCTCTCCCCCCTTTGGATTTCTTGATTGTATTTGGTTTGGATTTGATGAGTCCGGCAGGTGCTAATACTTTGATTAGGGTACAGCCGGTCGGTGTGGAACGGATCGATGGAGGGGATTGGGGTGGACGAGAAGAGGCCCTTGGCAGTCGATTTGGGTCCCTGCAATGCCGCCGATGGTGGAGACCGGCGGATTTGGTCGTCCCGGGAGTGGGGGCAGAAGATTGCCACGGGGAAGCGTATTTTCTGTAATCGATCGCTGAATATGAAGAATATTATCGCGGTTGGGTTCGACATGGACTACACGCTGGCACAGTACAAGCCAGAGACGTTCGAGTCGATGGCCTATGATGGAACGGTCAAGAAACTGGTTTATAATCTGGGGTATCCTCATGAGGTTTGTGATTCTGAATTGTGCCATTTTTGTCCTTATGTTAATTGGATTGAGTTTCTTTGTTGAAGATTGCATTTTGTCTTTACATTCTGGAAATTTGAGAAGTCAAATTTAACGTTCCGTTTCTGTGTAAACGAAGAGCCTGCATTTTTAGACAGTTTTGTTGAATTGGTTACACGGCCGTTATTAGTATTTTATAGAAGGAGCTCTCCAAGCTTAGTAATCCACTTTTGTATATTTTTATGCTCTTCAAGTGTGTGAATTAGAGGCTGGACGGATTATGTTTTCAACTATAAAATAAAGAACAAGATGTAGTTGATAATCCATGTAATGGAAATGAAGGTTTATAGTTTCCCATGAGGACTTATGCCATTTCCTGTCAATGGATTCGATGTAATTTGATCCAATTTTATAATTTTGATACAGCTTGAATTGGATGTGGATCAATTTTTTGATTGCATAATTCTATTAGTGACCCAACCATAATGTCCAACTGGTAAACGGATTGGATAGAGATGCCTTTTATCTGATTTGTTTTGCTGCCCTATCCTATTACATAATATATGCTATGTTTTAAACTGTTCTTAATTAGTATCCACCATTATATTATTGCATAAAGAGGATAAACATTGATAACATGAGCTTCATGCAGACTATCACTGGTTTTATCTAAAACCATATCCATGCTGGCAGAATAGCAGTATTACAACAAAAATTTTGTCAGAAGAACTTTCTTTGGCCCGGATGAAAGCAATTTATAATATTTTTCCGGAGAAATATTCTATAATGTTTCAATTATTGTCCCAATATTGAAGTGTGGCAATGTATTAGCTCTGAACTTGGATATGAATGCATAGAAATGTTTTGAGGATTATTCTAAATCTTATACATCATATTATAAAGTTATATTTCAGGAGTTTCTTTTAGCCCTCTGAAGTTGAGTAGTTTACTTTAATAGACAATTTGTGCTCAGAATTTCTGATAATCACATACATTATTATTTAGAATTGTGAATACAACTGAGCCACATTATTTCTTAAATTTGCAGATATTGGAATGGACATTTGATTCGAAGTACATGGTCAGGGGTTTGGTTCTTGATAAGAAGAGGGGCAATATTTTAAAGGTTAGCCTTTTAAACTCGTTTGTTTGGATTTACAGAGTAGCACTTTAAATATATGAACAAAAAGTTCCGTGAGCTTCTTTGAAAAGCCTTCTCAAAGCATTGTTGTGAATTGGTCTGCTATGAGCAATCGAGCATGCATATACATGTTTTCTGCCCTTCTTTGTTCTCTCTATTCATAGATTTGCATCTTCTTGAGCATGTTGTACATTTTTATCTGCATATGTTTGCTGCTGCTGCATGTGGCCCATGTAATGCTTCTGTGCAAGTTGTCTGCAAGTATGCATCCTTGTGTGCGATATGCTGGAGAACTATGTATGTATACAATAAGAATATGTATATTGATGTATGTGATTCCGTCTTAAATTTTATCTGTCAGTTACTAGATATTTCTTTTCTGATGATCTGCTTCTTAATCTACTCCTACTCATTGATCTTTAATTAAATTAAAATTAAAATTTAATTTGTCCAAGTTGTTTTTAGTATATCTAAGAATGGACCTTGATAATAGCAACAGAAAAGTACATTACAAACATATAAACCCATCATGCTTTTAGGTCTTCTTAATCAACCTATGCAGTGAAGATTTATAGAAAATTACTGAAAATGTTAACAATCGGAACTTTTCCTCATCAAACTATGGCACACTGGGTAACTGGAAAATTCAAAAAAATTTTACCAATCACTAAATGTATCATCAAGATTTTTGCTTGCTTTCTGCATATATACTTATACCATTATAGTTACAAATGGACTTATTTTCCTGATAGAGCTTTATGTTTGAAGTGTCAAACATAAATTATACTTATACCCAATCTACAAGGCATCTGCATATGATCTAGGGAGTATTAAGTATCAGATGATTGAAGTGTCTATGTTTGGATGCAAAGACTTTGATTAGCTTCACTGCTGCGCCAAGACTGCCATCTGAAATCATAATTACATCTATTATGAGAACTTGTTTGACACCTGACAAAACATGATGGCTCAATTCCTATATCCCATGTCCTATTTCTTCTATGAGTATAAAGGATTAGTGAGGATTTAATCTGATGTACTCTTCCATTTTTTTTTGTTATATCCACTATTTAACATCAGAGTAATATGTGTAATTTCATGATCATCTTAGTCTATGGCCCTTTTAATGTTACAATGTAAAAGTTTCATTTTAGTTGTTTGCCTCTTTCCTTCCAGCAACAATTTCTGGATAAGTTGTTTGTGTTTCAGATGGACCGACACAAGTATGTAAAAGTGGCATACCATGGGTTTAGGGAGATGTCTAAGGAAGAAAAAGTTTCAACTTATGGAAATACATTAGTTCGTGATTCCTTCGACGAGCCTGATTATGCTTTGATTGACACTTTGTTCTCTCTAGCCGAAGCATATCTGTTTGCTCAGCTTGTTGACTTTATGGATAAGAACCCTGCAAAATTTACTTCTGGGGTTGAGTATGTACTTCTCATTGCTTTGTCATTTTGTTAATCTAAATTCAATTTCGATCCTTTGTCTTGTTTTTTGCTATAGTTTGTCATTTGAGGAAGTGATGAGTTTCACTAGTAATTTTTTGGTATGTAACAACAGAACTTTGTTATTTTATTTTCACATAGTATATTTTTATGTATGTTGTGATTGAAGTATATTTGAGAGTGTTTGGTACATTTCTGTGTGTGGCCATGTGATTATCTTTTTGTATTTTGCATATAAAACTAAATAAAGGATGTATAATTGTTTCTATCAGATATCTGGATGTCAATAATTGGATTTAGCCTTTATACATTAGAATATGAGCGTAAACTCTCATGAATAATGTAATATTCTCAAAGTGCTCTATCTCATGGTCAGTTGATTAATGTGCCATTCTCTTTCTTTTCATGAGAGTTATTATTATTTTCACATTCGTCTTTTCATTATTAAATGATAGTACTGTATACAATAAGAGAAGTTCAAACAAATTGGTCTCCTGTTGCTACGTTAATGCTTTAGTTTGCTTCATCTGTTTCCTTATGTACTAGGCTTCCCTTATTTTGGTTCATATAGCTTGTAAATTAATTATATTGAAAGATACTATGGGAATTCTTTTTGAAATTATAAACATCCATTGTTACTAAAGAACAAATTAGCTGAAGACTGAAGTTGGAGTCATATTGTGTTTCATCTCCTTTAATTTTGTCATTTGGCAGTTCTGCACACATACCCTTGTAAGGTCCTGAGCAATAGCAGTTGGTTTCAGTACAGTATATCTAATTAGATAGTAATTTATCAATATTCAGCAGTTAATAAAGGTCAGTTTAGTTCCTTTTCTTTTTTAATGCTTGAGGTGGAATCTGGTTATTTGGAGCTGTATGCATGAAGATTGAACTTGAAAGATTCAAGCAATGAATTAATAAATAATTAACAATCACAAGAAAGAAATGAAATGTGTGCCTATCATATGGTGAATGTTATGCAATTCAGTACAAAGAATTATATTCAGTTTTCTTTTCCAAATTTTTAGTTTGATTTATGTCAAGTTAGTAAGATCAAAGAGTTCTAAATATGAATCTTTTGTTGAGTGTATGAAGGATAAATGATAAATGTTCTATAGAAGAAATAGTGCTCTTTTAGATCTGGGGTTTTCTTTCTTCTATGATTCTATCTTTGTCTCAGGAGGGTTTCTTCCAGCTTCTACTCTACTTCTGCACCTTCTACCCCCGTCGTTGTTTCTAACTTGCATTTTGCATACCTTCTGTTATCTTTGGTTATGTTGTATCAATTTTATTCCCTCTATATTCTGACATAGACTAAAGTTGTACCGCTATGCTGTCTGGTTTGCAACAGAGTCCTTCTTCTTTGGCATCACATACAAAATGTTGAAAGATTTGAAATAGGAATATTTGAGGAATTTTCCAAAAATTATTCTTTAGGCTTGTGCTATTGGTTAGTGTCAAGTTGGCATGTCATGCTTTCATTCAGGTTGCCAAATTAAGGTCACGAGAGGAATGAATTACCAGTAATAATGTATATACTTGAATTATTATGTGGCAGAATGATGTATAACATAATAGTCAAATGTTTTAGTGCTTTCTTTGTTGAAGATAATTTTATAACAAGGAACACAGAAGTCTGAATTAGTAGCAGAGTCAAAAGTAGTTGTTAAAAACTTCAAATATATTTTATTAGGTACCACTGAAATTTATTTACACAGCATTTCATGTTAATTTTTTTGCAATGATTTTAGTGAAATGAGAAGAAAATTAGGCAAAGTTGTTGTGAGTTAGTTTTCTTGCTGCCACAACAATTAAAATTGTCCTCTGTTAGTCTATTTTTGGAGACTGGATTATATGATCTGTTGATTAGAAATTCTCTCTCTCTCTCTCTCTCTCTCTGAACCTTGAAGTCTACTGCAAGGCAAAATCATTAAGATAATACATCTAATTCCTCGAAGGCCAAAAAATTTCACACTCTCTCATTTCATTCTCCTTCCCTCCCTGAAAGATTATTAAGAAGGCCCAAAAATGATATTGATGGATAAAAATATGGTTAAAAAAATTCATTTACTATTATAGATTATGAAATAATGGTTAATTAGTTTCTAACTGGTTCTGCATGTAGTCTTCTAGATGATGCATATTTCTTAGTTGAAATGTAATAATCAATTTGTCATTATTTGAGACCCCTTTTTTTTGTTTTAAGAAATTCTAGAAGCCTCAATTAGGGCCCACAATTTCAAGATGCCTAGATGGTTTTTCTTTCTTAAGGATTATCTGTTTTAGTTTGATCAGTCATAACTAGTCATTGCAATGCAGCTATATTCGAATGTATAAAGATGTAAGGGCAGCAGTTGACTTGTGCCATCGTGATGGAACTTTGAAACAAATGGTTGCGAAGGATCCTGGAAGGTAATTATTGTATAATGATAACTTTTTTACTGCAAAATTAGATTTGTGTATATAACATGCTATTATAATCGAATGGTCTAACAGCCACCGTAATTTGTGTTTTTAATTTAATGTATACTTCATTATACTTTTGAAGTGATTTAGAAGGGAATTTTATATTTTATCTTCAAGATAATTTGTCCAGCATATATATGACATCTGAGAACTTTTTTGAACTTCTAGGTATATTAATGAAGATCTATCAATTGTTCCAATGCTTAGAATGCTTCGAGATTCAGGCCGTTCCACCTTTTTGGTCACAAATAGGTATCATTTCCTATGATATTGTTTATGATTCTGCTAAAGTAGAGATGGCATATACCAGTACAAACAATTAACTTTTAATAATTTGCTGACTCAAGCCATTTGATTATGGTTTGTAATTGTAAGTACAAGTAGCTCAATATTAAAGTTTTGGATGTTGGGCTGTATATGGAAAGGAAGAACTGAGGGTAAGTTGTGGCAAGGAAGCCTTGTCAGCACTAGTTACATCTTAGGTGAGAAGATCAAGTTTAGGCAGTTGCCTTCATATATTGTTGACCTGACTAGTGAGGGGACAATATAAGAGGCAGCATATTCATAATGGACGAGTGTATTGTAAGCAATCCTGAACGCAAGCTGTGAGAGGACTTGTTAAGATTTTCTGTTCAAAGACTTTCTTGGATATAGACCCGCATAAGTTGGCCAATTTGAGAGGACTTATTAAGACTTTTCTGTTTAAAGACTTGGAAACACACCACTGCATAAGTTGGCCAAATAGGTCCTTCAGAGAGTGACTTGATATCCATTTGGCTTGTCCTGTCTATTTATGGTAGCTCGTCTATTCAACTTTGAATTGTTGTTATTGCTTAACAACATTGTGCAATGCATAAATAAGCTTTTAGAACATCTTAAGGTGTGCGGTTACAAAATGTTCTTCTATCTTTGTCAACGGTTGCTACTAATTTCTTTTAACAGCATGATTACTGGTTGCAGTTTGTGGGACTACACGAACGTTGTTATGAATTATCTCTGTGGGAACTGTAACTCAAATTGTGACTCTGCTGGTTGTGACTCTGCTGGAAACTATGAATGGCTTCAAAACTTTGATGTGGTTATAACAGGCAGGTTGGAATTTATCATTGAAATTCTTCTATCTTAATTCATCAGTATTGTTTTTTTTCCAAATACTTTTTACCCTGTGGATTAATGGAATAGTTCTCAACTTATACAGCTCAAAGCCAAGTTTCTTTCATGAAGAAAATCGTGCAAACCTTTTTGAAGTGGAATCTGAAACTGGAATGCTGCTTAATACTGATAATGGGACTCTAGTTCCTCAGGTAAGTGAAAAAATGTCATTTTTCCTACCGTTTGCATTATTATTCTCTTATTTTAAAATTTTTGTTCTGTATTTAGGTAGGAAGTACCTCCCCAAGATTGCCTCCAAACCACTTAAAAAAGGCATGCAGAGTTTTCCAGGTAAACACTAACCTTAATCTAAAGCTACTACTGAATCAAATAGAGTTTTTTTTTTGTTAGAAAACTACTTTTGATATATTTTTTATTCTTCATTCAAATGTCATTTACCTGTTCCTCATCTCAGTAATTAATTTTTATTAAATAAATCTATTTTGACTTTCATTCTCAGGGAGGTAATGTTGCACATCTTCATAAGCTGCTGTCAATTGCTTCAAGTTCCCAGGTGCTCCATTTGTTAGCCTATTTATAGAATATCATGAAATTTTAATTTCTACAATAAACATTTTTGTAAAACATGATCAGAAGTTATTGTTAAGCATGATTTGTATGATCAGACAGTTTTTACATTAACAACATACTACTTCAATCTGTAGTTTTATTGCATTTTATTCTTTCTAACAGTTACTTTCCTAGTGCAAAGAGGATTCTTTTCATTAGGTAGTCCTTAAATAAGATATGGATTAAAATACATCCTGTATCCATAGAGGAGACTCTGATTCCCTGTCCTTGTTTTCTAGTATACTGGTCCCTTCAATTGTTATGTGATTCCATCAGGTTATTGCATGGACATATGCAGCCGCATATTGTCACATCCTAGAACCTTTTTGTTAAATTTCAATTATGATGCTATTTTTATTATATGAATATCTGTTGTTTTAAGCTTTTTTATGCATTATATAGAGGCAAAAGTTAAAAAAACACCAACTTGGATTCATTTTCCCAAAGAAGAAGGTCTATTATAGGATGCATTCTAGGCAACAGCTGGTTCTGTACAGGACATTCTTGTTACATACTGGGCTATCATGACTGATAACCTGGACTTATAGCTGAATTATCAAGAAGATAAAACAGATTAGATAGAATTCACTCGAAGGTCGTTTACTTCATTTGACATTTCAAATTGTTATAGTATATTTACCAAGAGCTTTCTAAAACCTATGACACAGAAAAAGTTTGGTTAGGAAATAAGTTGACAATCTGGTTCTGTAATTATTGTCATTCCTTTATAAGGTGAACTTCCAAATTTGATGCAAAATCTAACTAAATTAAGTTAACCAGAGTACTAAATATTTGTTTCACCTTGTTTGTGACTTCTGATACAGTTTTAAAGTAAGTATACAAGTTAATAGTTGCTATATATAGAATAATATATGACTTTTTAAGATTTCAAGCATGTATTTTTTGCCTAATTGGTTAGCATGTTTTGCTCTTTGTTCCAAATCTTCTAGGATGTGGAGATTGGACTGGTCCCTTGTGTTGGCTTATTTTTTGTGCTCCTAGGAGCATGGTGTAGCTTTTACTAGAGTTTTGCAGTAATATACAGCTTTCTTTTCGGAACAAAAAAAGAGATGATTTTTTAAGGAATCAATGCATGAGGATAAAACTGGGAAATTTAGCTTTTTTTATTGATATTAACAATGACAATAACAATGCTGCCAATGATGGTGATGACAACAACCACATGATAATTCTATATATACTGCAAGATCTTTTTACCAAATATTTGGGGCCAACCATATGTATTTTCTCCTGCTATTTAACCTTTTTAAGAGCAACTTTCTTATTATTTTTAACGTAATTATGTCCTTTGTCTAAGTCTTCTTTTTTCAGCCTTTTGGAATATATTTAACATTAATTAACATATTTTTCTTACTGTGTGCTTTAAGGTCTTCATTAGATTTCTTAAGTACCTTAAAGTGGTGTGATCTCGTTTTCACTTGTTGTTTTCTTTTACTTGCCAAATTTGAAACAATTTGATAGTGTATCTTTTCTTTCTGGTACATCTAATCATCCATCTCAATATGTTTCATAAAATTTATGGGTCATGATTTGTTAAGGCCTTTTAATTGTAATAACTAAAGTTCTGCTAGTTCCAATTGTGCTCATGATTCTGCAGATTGAACACTGAGTACTTAATGCAATTTCTTGGTAATGGAACATCTTTCTATAATGTCAATCCTCTAAATGTAAATGCTTTTCAACTTTAGTTTCATACAAACATATCTAATTTTCTCACTTGGCTTCGGTGACTAGCCTTGTACATGCAATGATGCAACAAGATGCATGCATTGTAAAAATTTATCAACCTCTTCTCATATAGCTTATCCAGCTTTTAATTTTGACTTGGTAACTAATGACAATATTAACATGGTATTATACAATCGGTGCTTTCACTGAATGTAAATGTCTGAAGTGGAATTTTTCTTGTCAACTAAATCATTTAAACATCATGTCTTATCATGATGCTTTTTTGCATTATAATAGGTTCTTTACGTTGGAGACCACATCTATGGAGATATTTTGCGAAGCAAGAAAGTGCTTGGTAATTTTATTATGTCTATTTTCATGATTTATGCTTGTTTGTTCTAGATAATTCTCTAAATCTAGGTTATTGCTTGTGCTTGTGTTTTTCTAAATGTATTGTCTTATGTCTGGACCTGTATTATCATTTGATATATTTACACCATCCTGTCAGTTCCTTAACCGATCTCTGTTGTCATGGTATTATGATATGTAGTCTATATTTCAATGTTTTTATTATATGATTATCTGTAGTCATCCGTGTATTGTGATTTTTTTTTCATTGATTTTCTATATTTCCTGAGCTGAAATTGCTGGACTTATAGTTTAAATCATTAAGGTCTTTATGGAATGTCAAAATTTGCAAAGTTTGAAATTACATTTAATTGTAGTTTCTACTAGCATCCATACCAGGGTCTGCAGTACCGAACTGTACCGCCTGGTACGAGCGGTATGTACCGGTCCGACAGGTTGCCGGTACGCGGGCCACCTGTTATCGGTTCGAGTGCACTGTAGCATTGTAGCAGTACTACAGTACTCGGTACACCTGGGTGTACCGCTTGGTATACCGTACCGTATCGGTACCGAGCCCAGGTCGAAATACCGGTACGATACGGTATTACGAACCTTGATCCATACAATCAGGAACACTAGTATCTTTCTGTTTGTCTAATGTCATCTTGATCCACTGACTGTAGTTAGCCACACTTCCCTATTATGCTGCATGAATCTTATTTTAACCTCAAATTCTACCACGTTTTAGATTTTTCTTAATTTTCATTTTGGGAAGCATGTAAGCAATCTTTAGATTGCCTCATCATGCATTTTATCCTCCCTTATTTTATCATGCATTTGTATGATGTGTATTTGGACTGGTCATCTCATTGCAAGCTTGTTCTTTCAATCCTTTTGATTTTATTTTGGTTTTCATGTTATTATTACAACTTCATTTCTACCACAGTTCTGCTGGACTACTTTATCTATTTTAGTTGGTCACTTGGTCCACTCCATAAAGTTGTTCAATCTTTTGTCTCAAAGCTCTAGCATTTAGATAGTATAGTATTTTTTTTTTACTTAGGCAAATATCATTGTCAAGACCTCTCACAACTTTTCATCATTACTTATGTTTAAATCATCTATCCTATTTCACATTATCTCATTTTCAAGTAAATGTATTTACCACATCTTCATATATTATTGCTTTACTTCACAGTCTCTTTATATTGTTGAATTATAGCCACCATTATTGTCCAGATATTCACAGCATTGGCTTGCCTGCATTATATTTTAATTGCCAGGTCATCATCCTAGGCTATCAAAGTAATCTCCGCTGTAGTAGAAAATCTGCTAAAGTAATCAAAGTAAAATGATGCATATGATGTTAGTGATACCTGATCTGGAATATGTATCATCATCAAGAATATCAGCCAACAATCTAAATATCAGTCTGTTTGTAATACATTCTGACAAGATGTTGCCCCAGTACAATAGGTTTGTATGGACCAGTATACCTCTCATGCCGACATGGGCAAGGGCCTGGAAAAATTAAAATTGAGTACAAATAACACAATTTAGGAGTCTCCTGTTATTCTCTTCCCATGGACCCTTCCTCACAGCATCTTACTTGGGGGGTGTATGTCGCTGACCCATCCTTTGATTGCTTAAATCCTCAAACCTTTTCGATGGCTTTAGTCAATAATTAGACTGATAAATTCTTTTAATAAATTGGAGCCAATTTTCATGGTTTCCAGTTCAACAAAATCGGGTAGTACTTGATGGCTGCATTTCAATCTGACATTTGACTGGTAAATAAATTAAGACCTTCTTATTATTTGGTTTCAAGCTGACACAATATGTAGAAGACAATTTTTCAACAAAAGGCATAAATCATATATGTTGTCCCTTGAAAAAGTTACTCAGAATTAGCTCGTTAGGAGACTTATATACGAAACCATTTCATAATTAAAACTTGGAACACAATCTGGAATTGCTGGAACCTCAAAATTGCCTACTTAAAACTCTATATTTTCATAATTACTCAGAATAGCTTGTTAGGAGACATATATGTAATCATTTCATAATTAAAACTTGGAACACAATCTGGAATTACTGGAACCTCAAAATTGCCTCCTTATAACTCTATATTTTCTTGGTGGTGCCATGGGTAATTATTATCTTTTTCTTTTATACTGATTGTGAAATACATGGCACAATGGTGACTTGAACTTCTTTGGGGCATCTTGGAGATCAACATTTCCTATTATCCCCAACATTCCACAGATTATCTTGGTATTAGGTTAGCTCTCATATCATTTTTGTCATAACCCAAGCTTGCAATCACATGGGCTTCATCACTAAAAGGTTATGCTTAGAGATATGTTTGTTTCCATATGGAGGGTGTCACATCAGGTACACTACAGAATTAACTTGAAAGTTATTATCTCTTTCCAAAAACTTAACATGATAATTCTTTTTTGTATTTATTTGGTTCTTATCCTTATTTCTTGTTACTAAAAGAAAAGGCATAATTGATTTTTACTGAATTGTTGTTCGATAAAAGGTTGGAGAACGATGCTCGTTGTTCCAGAACTTGAGCAAGAGGTTGAGCTTCTTTGTCGATCAAGGGAAATGCGTAAGGTATTAAGAAAATATTTTTCTTCTGGTACTTCTGAATATATTCATGAATCAATACAATAATAGTATTTAGAATCTTACAGGTGTATTCTTTGAAACATATTCATAGTTAATGTTTCACAGAGTTTATTCATTCATATTTTCTGCTGTTGCAAATAGTTCCAAGAGTCTTTAAACATTCTTGCCATAATTTATTATACTCAATCTAGATTATCTTATTAATCCTCTACTGTGAGATGCTGGGAGAATTCCATGCTACAGTGAAACAAACCCTGCAAGATGAACTTCTATTGGTTGCAAATTCTATAATCTAAAAGCTAGATTTAATATTAAAAAACTGAATGGAAGAAATGTAAAAGCATTAGGAAAATCAAGTCTCCCAGGGTGGAAATAATAATTATTTTAGTTTTGGGCTTAAATTCTAAGCTGCTTATTTTAAGTTGGGAGAAAATCATAATGTTGATTTCTCTCATACCATCAATTTCTTATTGACTCTTTGTCCAACCGAACGTACTTCTTATGTTCATTATTTTGCAAATTTATGTTCAGAAGCTTCGACAGTTAAGGCTAGAACGTGATCTTGTTGAGGACAAAATTCATCACCTAAAATGGTCTCTCAAGTAAGAAATTTATGTACTGAATGATTTTGTTGGTAGATTTATCCTTATGAGTTATGAGATTAATCAGGCATTGTTTAGAAATTTCTCCTCTATATACACTGCTAGTTTCTTTTTTTTCTTTGTCTGCATCAATCAAAGTCTATTTATGGTACAGGTTTGATATTTTGGATGCAAATGAGGAACAGAGCTTATCGTCCGAACTTCATAAACTGGAGGTGAGTTGGGCAATGCAAATATTGTAAATGGAATACATTTTGAAAATCAAGCAATGTCAAGTCTCCTATAGCAGTCGTTAGCATGTCTATTTTACATAATATTTAGAAGTCACTAACAAGAAGTTCTATAAGTTGTTTCTTGTAGTCCAGTGCAGTATTACCACTAGTTTAGGACCTAGTGGATCAAAAGTTACGAAGTAGCTGCTTGAAATTGACATTGTTAGTCAGATAAAAAGTTATGATGCCATAGCTAATTGAAAATGATATCATCAATCTCTTGCATTGATTTGTAATGTTAGTAAATTAAGTGTCAGGAGTAAGATACCCAACTTCAAATGGTTCCTAGCAGATGCCATCCTGACCCACAGATCAGATGTTGCATCCATGTTAACTTTTGTTAGAATAAAGTCTTGTTTGTAATGTATCAATCAAGATCAAGACTTCCTGAAGGGAATCATAGATTAAGATTCATCCATTTTAATGCTAACTTGAAATGAGTACCTCGACCATGTCTGTATGTCTGTATCTTGGTTGCACGATTAAGAAACATTGTTTGAACTGCAAACTTGATATGGTTTTAAATTCTATGTACTAATTGTTTTATGCGCTTGAAACTACTTACCTTAATTATCTGAGCTATGTATACTGTAGACTACGTACGACCAGAACTTTTTGGGCTCTATACAAACCTGAGTGAAGGTATTTACTACTCGAGTAGCCAAGATAGGACAAGTTATCCATGTTCCTAAAGCTTGTTCTGTATTGCACTTGTGATGTATGTCTGGAAAATTTTTTCTGTTGAAGTTCCATTTTCTAGTTCCGTCTTTGTTCAGGTATCTAACATGTTATTCAGTTGCGTCCACTTCTGATACTTTGTACTCGTAATTATCTGGGCCCTCAGGATCAAGTTCTATTATCACACAGAAGATATGGGGATGTAATGAAGTAATTAAATGCTTATGACAAGAAATTTTTTGGATGCATGTAACACTGATAGAGCAGTAGCAAGTGATTGGGGTATAAGGTCTAGCCGAACAGTTATACAAAATGTGAAAGATTATAAATAGGAAAGAAAAAGGGGGACAGGTATTTAACCATTGTAGTTTTTCCAAGAAAAGAGAATCACTTGTTAATTATACATGACTGTTGCTTATAGTTGATTTGATGAGGCCTTTTTTGATGTCGACCTGTCTGAGAGAAACCTACTATTTATTTTTTAGGTACTATATAATTGGTGGAGCAATTCTCTTTGTGCCAATTTGATATATCAGTCGTTGAACTAACTTGCCAGCAATGAAACCCATTATCTTTTTTTTTCGCAAAGGCTAAGGGGCATAGGAGGGATTCGAGCCCAAGACTTTGTCATATTCTATTAAAGTCTTTACCAGCTAGGCTGGCTAGCACCTTCAGGAAACTCACTATCGTTTAGATTAGTTCTAAGAGATGTAATGTGAAGTTACCTATCAAGGTTACACCATGTGCTTTATGCAATTCTGGTCACTTTCATTATCATTTTTAGCACAAACTTTGTATCTATCATCTATGGTTTTGCAATCTTCCTTTGCCTAGATGATCATTTTTGTTGTTGAAAACCATGCTAATATATGTTTCTCTTTGTGTTTAGACCTTGTTCAGTTATTATATGCAAATTGTTTGAGCTATTTTTGAAAATTTGTCAGTTATGTACATCTTTTTCTCCAAAATATCTGTTTCTTTTTGTCATTATTTTGGTTGCTAGATCAGCAGGCTAAGTCGTAATCATCCTTCTATCTTTTTTGCTGCTTTTTGGTCTGATCTAACAATATAAGGTCGTAATATTTTCAAATTAAATAAAAATATCTTTATGATTTGTCTCTAATACCTCACTCCTGCCTTCTTCCTTTCTTGCATGGTGTATTACTCAATCTCCAGTGCTTCCTGGGCTCATAAACATTGATGGCCACCATGAAGGATAATTCATGTTGTTCTCAAGCACAACTTTGTATTGTGGATTTGTGGTTCATTCCATTTTCATCTATTTTAATTGCTTTTTCACATGGACATAGAGCTTTTGTGAGAAATCCTTCTCAATAGAGGTCCATCATTGAATTAGTTTGAAAAATGATGGCTTGTAATATATTTTTATAAATTCCATTATTCACATTTCACAATATGCAACAATTGTGTTTCATGCTACAACATAAACTTAATCTGCTTCTGCAGTGGAATTTGTTTTTCTTGTATGTTAACTTTTGCGACGATTACCATCATATGTTGCTCAACTTTGGTCGTTCTTATGCATCGCTAGTTACAAAGGGAGCAGGTTCGTTGCCTCCATCAAGATGCCCAGAGGGAACACCACCAAAAGGTAATAACCAATTCTTAGAAAATGTAGCTCTTTTGGGCTGCAGATTAGCATGTCTACATGGACAAATACTATGAACATTTGTTACTAAAAGAAACTTTTCTTTGATGTTTATAACTAGATTATGTGCTTTCGTTTGTGTGTCTATAATTGATCTGTGGTATCAAACATGTTAAATATATCTAAGCTAGAATGAATATTTAGGAAACTTGTCCTCTGATTGGGTTGTCAGATGTTTTTCCATATTGCAAAACTAGATGTCCTGAACATCATAAAATTGCTTTTCTTGTTTATCATCTCTGTATTATGGCCTTCAATTTCTTTGCCTCCTGGGTAAAAATTGCTTGTGAGAAGGTTATATGATACTTAGTCAGCAGTGCTCATGTTCTTCTGTGCATCTTTTTGTCGATGTAGTTTCACAAGGTATGGGGGCAGCTCATGAAGACAGGTTACCAGAACTCTCGCTTTGCTCATCAGGTATTCCCCCTCCCTACCAGAGATCAGTGAAGCCTTCCCTCCTGCTTGTTCTGATGTGTGAATTCAGAAATTTTGCCACTGTTGTAGGGTGTATTTTCTGTGAAAAAGAAATTTTCTTGGATGTTTTTCCGCAGGTTGAGAGGTTTGCTTGTTTATATACAAGCCAAGTGACAAACCTGAGCTTGTACTCTCCTGACAAATACTACAGACCAAGTGAAGATTTCATGCCCCACGAATTTGACATTCTGGGACTGTAAGAGATCTTTGATGTAACGACGATCTTCTCTATCACACGTAGACGAAGGCTGTCAGCCGAAACCGAGATCGATGCATAGGCAGGAAGACTCCATGAAGCTTGGTAGTCGATCGGTTTGGATCTACTTTCTGACTTGATGTGAGGAAATTGTAGTTTCGAGGGTGACTTCGAAGAAATCAGTGTCTCTTAAAGTTGTTGTTTTGTCATATATGTAATATAAAAAGCAACATTATTTTGTTGTGGCACTGGTGAAATTTTAAAATAATACAAATAAAAAAAAAAGAAATTCTCAAGGTTTCATAGTGAGACTTTTGGAGGATTTTTGTGTTGCTGGTCGTGACGTTCACAGTTTCAGCCAAAGCCAGAATGCTTTCTCTGTAAATGAGATGCTGAAGGGGGAAACTGCCTTTTCGGACCATCGTCGGTGCCGACACTTTGTGATGCTCAGAAATGCAATGGAAAACAGTTTTTAGTTGTACTATCATCCGGCGGGTTGGTTGCAACTGAAAGCTTTCACCGATCGCCTTTATTATGGTGGGACATCGGAACGTGGATTTCAGTGGAACTGGGTATCACCGATCACCAATCTCTCAAGTAATAACACTTTGCCATCTGTAACACATCGGTCCCATGGTCTAGTGGTCAGGACATTGGACTCTGAATCCAGTAACCCGAGTTCAAATCTCGGTGGGACCTAATTAAAGTTTCATTTTTAGTGAGAAAGACATTCTCGTCGACTAAATTCTCCGTATCTCCTATAACTAAATAAGAGATTTAGTTTTGAAGGAAAAAAAATAGAAGAGTAAATCGAAGCCCATTGAACTGATTTTTTGATTAAATGAAAACATAGGAGGTATGAGGTTTCATTTTTCCACTGACCACGTCGAGGCTAGCCGAACACAATCCACAAACTAACTATACATCGGATTGGCTAAGTAGATCTGTAATTTACCAGAAATTAGAAGTTAATATGATGTGAGATATTATGTACTTTTGCCAAAAAGTTTAAGCTGTATGTATAGTAAACTATTTGCTTTTTCGTCCAAACTGAGTTCCTTTTCAAACTAAGCTACCTATCATGTCTTACTTGATATTTCTTACACAACTAAGCTAAAGCTTTCATGTCTTACTTGCTACCTATCATCTTTAGCGATGTCGTTGGGCTTCTTCTTACTCCCAGGTGACTCTAGTCACAAGGTGTATTTCTAGTTCCTTGTATTTTAATTTTTTTTAGATCTTATATTGACGAGAGTAGAATGTTGTAGGATAGGATCTACAACATTAGAGAACATACAAAATTAATGGAGTTGTAACATATGAACAAGACACTTTTTGTATCCAGTAGTTTGATATTATCAATCAAACTATTCTTCAACATCAACATCGACTTGCTTGTTATATGTTAGTTAACCAAGATGCCAACATAGAGATGTTCATAGGGTAACTATCATATTTAACTATTATGTGCATGCCCTTCGAGATTGAACAATGATTAGTGATTAAATACGATCATCCACAAATTAATATCTCACTAAACTCTTTTGATTACTCGAATTTCTTATAAAAAGGTTTCACATGTCTTCCTTAAATGATCATGAATTATTTACGTTTAATATGCATTCTTATTTCTCAAATCCTCTAACGTTTAATTTAATCGTAGAGAGATCTTCGTCAATTACGTCCCTAACATTGTTTTGCATATATCCTACAAAATTCCATTGTGGCCTTCTAAGTATGGATGTTGGGTGTGAATTAGTTAAGGACTCGACCCAAATCATTTCCCTCGAACAGTACTCATGCGATTGCATCATCAAACGAATCACTCAACCCATGATCTGGTGTTTGTCAACTATATGTTAAACATTATCCACAACTACAATAGCCTTTACTTGAAGAACAATCTGTCCAAATGTAGTCGTGATTCTCTCTCTCATATCATCATTTTCTTTGACCTGATGGCATATCCACCAATTGCAGTCCATTACTTTGCTAGCTGAGATCTCAAACAACCATTTAATAGGACGATGCATGAACCTATCAACTCAATCAGAGTCAAAAGTTCCACAAAGCAAGTTTTGACACATCTCTCTCTCTCTCTCTGCACAGCTATTATGTCTTTCCTTGCATCATCTACTTCAACCTTTGAGCCTCTCTGTCACCATCACATCAGTTGATCCAAGAAACTTCACATGAAACTTCACTGAAGAATTTCCTTCTCTCGATAACGAGTCCAAATTGGTGAGCTTGAAACTTCTCGCCTACTTTTTACTTTGGGACACATTTGATGAGAATTATTCTCACGCATTGATTTCAATCAACACAATTATGGTTCACAATAATCTTTTTAATGTACAACATGGATGCATAGAAAAGTTTTATGTGCAGCTTCTCAATAAAAATTAATTATTTGAAGCTGTCAGCTAGTTTGGCTGCTATTACAATTTATCTCAAGTTCTTAGAATCGAATTTTATTTTGTCACTTACCTTTTCACATAAATAAAAATTATTTAGGGAAATCTATAAAACTAATTTATAAAAAAAATCATAGGCAACAGAATGTGTACCCAAGTTGGTAGGAATAATATTATTCTATGACTATGAAAACATTTATGTGTAAGATAAAGATATCATCCGAGGTTAGTCTCATATCGTTGATGATCGAAAGAATCAGATTATATATATTAGGCTTGACACATGACTTAAAATTTTGAATCGAATTAGTATCTATCCTAATATATGTTCACTTTGACTATAATGCCCTAATATATTGACTCTAACTACAATGACTTATACTAGTAATTTATGTGAGATGTTCCAATTAATTTTGCTTCACTAAGTTATTAATTCATCAAATGTGCAGCTTCTCAACAAAGATTGGCTATTTGAAGCTTTCAACTAGCCTAGTGAAGACTATGATAATTCATCGTTCGATTCGAACCCCGTCCTCGTCGCTTATTATTTTCAAAAAAAATAAAATAAAAATTATTTGCCTATCAAAATCAAGTAGAGATTGATTGTATAATAAGTAAAAAAAATGTGTGTCATTTCACACGTGGTCATTACTTACGTAATTGGCTTGCAAAGCACCTATAACTAGTAGAAGCATCATATATCTTAGGGATTCGGATCTATAGAGATAGCTATAAGAAGATGTTTGGTTTGTCCCAATCCAAGTACATAGACACCATTGTCAAAAGGTTTGGTATGAAAAATTCTAAAAGATGTCTCGTACCGATGAGACATGAGACCTCTTTCTAAGAGTATGTCACCCAAAAGGGCAAACATAGATAGAATACCCTATGCCTCAATGATAGGGACTATCATATATGTTATGCTTTATACTCGGCCTGATATAGCATATGCTTTGAGTGTCACGAGTAGGTATTAGGCGAATCCTGACTTGGTGCACTGTAAAGTAGTAAAGTGGTACATCTTCAATAGGAAAGACGGATTTGTTACCTATGGCTCCTTTGTCAATGATTTTCTATCTTTCTAGCAATTGTTTGTGAAAATCTATGAAACTAAATTATAAACAAAATCCTACCCAAGTCGATAATAATAATAATACTATTTTATGACTATTGAAAATATTTACATGTAAGATAGAAAAATCATGAGAGGTTAGTCATGCCTGTACTAATATACGTTCACTTTGACTATACTAACTTAATATATAGACTCTAACTACAATCATTTGTACTCATTATTACACAGTTTCTATTAATGACCACAAAATTCTAATATACTTTCCTTATCTTCTTTTCAGCTTGTCGGTCTGCTGCATGCTTCGTGTACGAAGTTTCTACAAGTTTCGAAGAAAATTCAACACAATAATCCACTTGCAAGTTTTGATCCAAAACTATTCTCTTGTTTTTTATGACAGATAAGCTGAACCGGAAATCCGCACCCCTTTACACATATTCTTTGACAGATGCATCCATCTAAGATATGCGTTTAATGTGTGCATCGCATGAAAGGTGTGGCAACAAAGGACGGTGGTGGGTCTCACTCTCGTCCATGTTGGATGCATGAAAGAGATGGCAGTCGAAGAAGCAGCATCATCCATTTAGTAGTACAAGTACATAGATTCCCCTGTCATCATGCCTTCACGAGTCCTCCTCCTTAACTGAGAAAGAACACGAAGGCAGGGCGAGGCGCCGAGTGACCTCACTGCCGCCATGGGAAGAGCCCCCTGCTGCGACAAGGCTAACGTGAAGAAAGGCTTGTGGTCGACCGAAGAAGATGCTAAACTCAAGTCCTACATCGAGCAGCATGGCATCGGCGGCAGCTGGATCTCTCTCCCGAAAAAGATTGGTGTGTGTGTGTGTGTGTGTGTGTGATCGGTAACACCAATTCAATTGCTTCTCCTTGACCATTATCTGGTGTGTGTCAGCTAGGCCTCAGGCGGTGCGGCAAGAGCTGCCGTCTCCGGTGGTTGAACTACCTCCGGCCGAACCTAAAGCACGGCGAGTACTCCGAGGAAGAAGATGAGATCATCTGCAGATTATATTTGACCATCGGTAGCAGGTGACTGATTCATGCACTTGTTGTCTCATCTTCTAGCTAGTTTGATTGATTTGCGCCGTTCTGCCGTGGTGGGGAGCAGGTGGTCATTGATCTCCACGCAGTTGCCGGGGAGAACCGACAACGACATCAAGAACTACTGGAACACGAGGTTGAAGAAGAAGCTCCTGGGCAAGCAGCAGAAGCATCACCGACAGGCACGCAGAGCCACGGCGCCGCAGCAAGAAGTCAAGATCCGAGAGAATGGAATCCTGGTGCAACTACCTCCATCGGAAGCCCATCGATCAGCTTCGCCTGGCATGGCTGATTCGCATGGTGAAACTTCAGGAAGCTCCAGTGGATTCCCATCTGAGCTCGACGAGATCCTGCGCTTCGACTCGGCAGCACCACAAGGGTTGGATTACCTCTACGAGGCCAGGGGCATGGCCGAGGAGAGCAGCGGGACGAGCACGCCGGAGGAGGAGAGCACGAACTGGGACGAGATGATCCCCTTCATGTACCCAGATTGGGTGCACGGCGGGCAAGAGATCTTTACCATGCAGTGATGATTGACGTACGCGGCTTGTGCATATACGATGATCGATAGAGGTGGTGGCGGTGGTGTTGAATTCATCGAACGTTCTATGATATGTGATTGATAATTAAGCCCCCCACCCCACCCTTTTTTTGAGTTTGATTGGTTTGTGTTCTTTAAATTTCAGGTGCCTTTTCCGGAGAATATACTATTAGGAGATAAAAAGGACTGTCATGTACCATTAAATGCGACTAATGCAATAAAAGGAGGATCAAACAACGTCAGCCGCCACTATTAATGAGCATATTCCAATCCCTTTTACGAGCATAACCAGTTTGGTTGATTGTCTAATCCACCGTACGTGAATTAGGCGTTCAATGTCACCTCATCCTGTCCCATCACTGCCTTTACTCATCATCTTCCATAACAAAGAGATGATCGATCTATTAGCCACTTTAGGATGCGTGTAAAGAAAGCTTGAACAGCGATCGTCGTCGGATCAACTTTACGAATCTCGAGATGGGAGAGGAGACGCCGGAGGCTCGTCTCATGCCGAGTAACAATTCATCGTTCGATTTATCGCCGATTTTTTTTTATTAATCGGGCGGATTCTATTTATCTGATTAAGCGTTAATCATCAAATTTGGTAATTTACACCAAAGCGTGTCCACCCAATAGAACACACGCCAATGACCGCCACTAGAAGAGTGGGACCCGGCCTCGAGAATATCCGAGTTCCGAGTTCACGCGATCAGTGACGCGGCCCACGCCTGGTCGCATCCCACGCCACCAAACCCGCCATGAGAGGCAACGGGGGGCGACGCCGCCACCATCAACACCTGCCGTAGGAGGACCAGCCGGCGGAGCTCGTCCAGCCTCCGGCTGAGGGCCGCGGACTCGACCCGGAGCCGGTGGTTCGCCCGGCGGAATAGCAGGCAGCGGTGGGACAGGTCGCCGACCCGGCTCGCCATGTCCCGGTTCAGGGCCCGGAGCCGGGCCGACTCGGCGCGGAGCTCCTCGAGGTGGCGCTGCTTCCGCATCCGGCAGCGGCGGGCCGACTCGCGGTTGGAGATCTTCCGGCGGAGCCGCCTGTGCTCGTCGGGGGAGGGCTTGGCCGAGCCGGCAGTCGACGGGGCCGGGTCGGCGTCGAACCAGGAGGGGTCGAGGGCGTCGAAGGCGGCGTCGAGGAGCAGCATGAGGGTTCCGAAGGAGGGAAGGTTAGAGGGGGAGAGAAAAGGGAAGAAAGGCGGACTCGCGGTGCGGCATTTAAGGACGGAGGAGGCGTGGCAAAGGGGGGCCAGCGGGACCCGCAGTCTGGGTCTCGATGATCACATGGCTGGCGTAACCTCGGCAGGAATCCGTCCTAAGATCCTGGCGTTCCTTAGATCACCACCGCTGATTGGTTCAATCAAGGAGTAGCGGAAGGTGGATCGTGGGCGGCTGGAATCTCCTGGGAATTCGGGGTCGGGTGGGCAGCCGATGAGGTGTTCTCTTAATGGCGAAGGAATGGTGGTGGTTCGATTAGATTCGGGTGTTACACGTGTCTCGTATTGTCATCTGCGGCACGTGCGCCGCTCGGGGCAAGCGTAGATTCTCCTCCCAGTAGTGTCTTTTCGTAAAGACGGTTCACGGTTACTGATCGCGGAAGGCATCTAAATGGTGTTTGCCAAAGCTTTTCCATTCATCACCATTTTACATCCAGAGAACACAAGATTACTACTTCATGAAAAAGATGAAGCTTCGATGTTTCCACCTTTTACTGTCCATATCTCTAACAAAAGGGAACACAAGGTGTACTTTGGTTCGGGTCATTTGATAGAATGGCCCATCAACAAGATTGTACGTTCCACCCTAGTTCTTCACATCAGTTGAAGTGTGAGGGAGTAAAGCTACCGCTACAGGTTTAAGGGAGAGCTACACATAAAAGTATAGATCTCATGGGCAGTGGGTGGCACAAGATGAACAGGAGAGATTCCAAGAGTCCATGACCATTTGCTTTTGTCTTCTTTCTTTTTTTCCTTTGATGTAGAACAAACTTCGGGTGGTCAGGAACAGCTTGCTTTCCGGCCAAAGCAGATGCCATGTCCTCTCTTTTCTCTGCCAACATATTGGCCAACCATTTCTTAGTCACATGATGAAGCCGACGTTCCAGGAAAAGATGGAGGAAGACACTGCATGAAACATTAACTGGGAGGATGTGTCCTTTAACGGTAAACAAAGAGAGAACATCAACTGACATCCATGCAAACAAAGAAGGAGAAGACTGCAAAGTGTAAGCAGATGGATTCCAAGCTTGTTAATGGGAAGCTTGTCACTACGTGCATGCTCACAGCTTTCCCCATCCTTTTACAGTGTCCATGTTGTAAAGGCAGCAGACATGTGGGTTGTTGAATGCACTGGAGATAAAGCTCTCTGTTGGGGATGGAGAAAAGTTGAGAGGTGGGTATGGGTTGTTGTTTCACTCATGTTCTCAAGTCCTCTCTCATAAAGGCTATATAAAAAGTCACCATGGCATTCTAAGGAATTGGTCATGAAGAGAACAATGTCTTGGAGTGGCTTCGTATCTTTAGCTAAACTAAGATTTTGAATTGTCTGTCAACTTTTTCTTCTCTAAAGGGAATCATGTCGAGAAGATACAGAACTCTCCACTGTCATGGCCTGGTAATGAATTTGGTAACCACAGTGCAGTAAGATGAACAGGAAAGGTTAAGAGAGTGGCTTTTACTTTTACTTATCACGCATGGAATTCGACCTTGGCTGGAGAGTCTTTAAGCGGTTCTTTTCTTTGCAGTGCAGGAATGGAGCAATCTACTTTGATCTGGGCAAGAGGTCAAGGATAAGTTAAATGCAGATAGGAGTCACTAATTAGGCTTAAATGGAACCCTGATTGGATGCATCTTCTCTGCCAATGGCATTGTGCATCATCCCTTCCACTTCCAGTTCTTTATTCAACAGAGTATTTGAAGTGATTTAGTTATCTTCTTTTGACAAGAACAACACCTCTCCTTCACATTGTTCATCAACTACAAAACATAAATTGTTCTTGATATTAATATCAAGGATAGTTTCACAAGGAAAGGGAACTCTTTCTTTTGTTCTCCTTTCTACTAAACAACAGAACATATAGTGAATTCCTAATGTATTATACACAGTAAAGTAGTATGGGGATACAGGAATACTTAATGAAGGACAAACAAGGGATCTGTTCAATAGCAATTACTTCATGACCCAATTCATTGCATCTTATGTGGTGGGTTTAGCCTAAGACAACATAGGCATTAATCTTATGAGTATTACTAGTACGTGGTACATCTAGAGAACCATAAAATATGGTCATAGGATACTCCTAACCATGACAGAAGTGCACATTCATTTCGATCAGAGTAAACTATACAGGAGAGGACTTAACTCAATAGTCCACGCTATAAATTATTCTGGTAAACAGTCATGTTAATTCATACTCAGGCTCCAGTTCCCATGACACTGGGGTCTCTTTCTTCGAATGAAACCTTTCTGAAACCCCCTTCTTGTTTTCCAATCTATTCCTAAGCAATCATAATGTCCCTGAGGATCACACTGTTCCTCATAGCTCTTCTCTTTCTTCCCCACACCAATGAAAGCAGGACTGGACCTGTGGATCCAAAAAAAGCTGATATTTGAGGTGCCTTTTCTTGCACACTTAGTTTTTCTTTGAATGCTCTTTGTGGTTATATTAGGATGTTGAGAGCGAGATGCCTGAGAGAGTAGAAGGATGTGAGAGGATAGTGCTTCGTGAACAGGTCTCTGACTTCCCACACAGATTACATCTATAGAGCACCATTGATTGTAGACTTGGAATGATACTGATCCTTTTGTTGCTGCAATAATGCTTGTCCTTTTATTCCATAACAAAAAAGAAAAAAAGGTTTGTGTTATAGATACCTTACACAGTTATCATGTTATTTTCTGCTAATTTCTTGCATGTTTTCGGGTCGCATAGAGATAATTACTTGTAAGATAGTGAGTATATGTGAAGTATTATACATTAGCTAACATCTTCAGGGAACTCCACAATTCAATTACAAGGACTAAGTAGCTGAAGTAGATGTTAGATAACATGAATCTTGTACAATTCTGAACCTATTCGGCTGTTCACATAAAGTCAAGTGGCCAAAGGAAAGTCGTGACAAAGCCATCACCAAAGCTTCAGCCTTTATCCATCGAATCGTCTGAAAGCACTGTATCTCATTGTTCTTAAATCCCATGAGTACCACTTGATGCTCAAATGAAGTGCAAATCCCATGAATCACTTGATTTCTTACATGCAGTAACACAATCATAAACACCCTTAACTATCATTTTAGTTTCTCGATAAGAATTCTAGATTAACAGTCGAGTTGAGATGATTAGGTATCAACTCCTTGCTTGTCCAAGATCCAAATCTCCTGGTAAAAGAATTCCAGGCAAGATTATACTTTCCTGTTTATGCACTTGATTTCTCTGATACTTAGCATTCATATTTATATCAATATATAAAACAAGAAGAGGAGTGGAGACAGTAAGCATATAGGTGCCAAAAAACAAACCCAGATGGGTGCAAAGCCAACCTTAGGCATTTATTGCTACTTAATATGATCGATACTACCAATATCCAGCTATAGTCTGTGATGAAAAGTAGCACCATCATATTGATTGCGTGCTAATTTTACCTGCATCAATACACTATCATGGAAGATTTGAGGTTATCAAAGACTACCAAGCTATGTTGACAATTATTTTGGATGGAAGATAGAAATTATTGGTGGTGAGATGCTGCTAAAGTTATTCTGCCTCATTGCATCCACAGTATGTAACACAGCAGCTCATTCACTGCTGCTCAAAGGCTCAACACAGAGAAAAGGAGTCCATGCTATACTAGAGATCAGAGTGGATTAGCTGCTCCATGCTCCCCATTGGATCCGCAGGGCCAAGAAGTGGGAAAGGACGCAAGCTCGAGTACAGTGGACGAGGAGGCAGTATCCCCAGGAACCCTGCAGGAGACTGGTTGATGGAAACAGCGGCGTCTGGACCGCCACCAACAACACGCCGCTGCGTGAACGGCGGCAAGGCCACCACGTTTAGTGGACGCGGCGGAGGCACCGATCGGGGCGCGCCCGTCAGCCTCTGCACCAGCTGGCGGAAGTCCCGGGGATCAACCCGGTACACCCTGGGCGGCGGCGGAGGCTGGTCGGGCCTCCTCCACGGCTTCCCCTGTGGCTTTTGCACCGCGTGGATCGCGGCCTGGTATGGAGGCGCCCTCCCTTGCGAGGCTGGAGCTGGTGGCGCTGCTTGCAGGGATTGAGAATAGCTGTGATCCATGGATGAACGAACACGTTGTTCTCTGCTAAATGGTTCCAGGTGCCGGTTAAATTGGACTCATGCAGAGGTCAACGGTAGAAGTCGGCGGCATCTGTACGTCACCAGCTGCACGCTTTCGTTGATGTTGACCGAGTCACGTCAGCGTGGCGGCTTGTTAGACTACCACGTGGAATAAGGGTGAATTAATGGTCAAACCAAGTAGGCAACGTTGAATACTGTTTTTTAGGATACGAAGACATGAAGATAATTGATAAGTTAACAATTTAATTTATCATAAGTCCATAAGTTATCACATATTAATATCTATAAAAAGGTAAAAAAAATGTAAAAAATCAAAATCAAATTCATTCTTCATAAAATATTATAACCTTAATTGAGATCTTAAAAATTCATCCTATTAACCGAGAATATCATAAAAAAATTCATCAAATCAAATCAAAATATAAATATAACCTTTGTTATTTTTTTATATTTTTCTCTTTTATTTCTAATATAACTTACAGAAAATGAACTAACTATACCGAAGGGAAGACGATTAAAGTCTCTTTAATTAAGTTCTTCATCCTACTTGAGACGAGTTATTTTTATATTCTCTATTTACAAAAGAAAAAAAATCGTTACTACTTATTGTACAACAATAATATAATTTGAATTAGACAAATTTATATCTAATGTATTACCTTTTTGTTTATGTTATTCGAGAGTACCTTTTCCATCTTTTAAATAGAAAATAAAAATAAAACATTGTTGGTGTGCATGCATGCAAGAATCTCAAAGTTAGAAGATGACATAATGGAAATGAGACATCATCGTTCAAATGCTATTTCTACATGGAAATGATGTTAAACGTGAATGGGTGCATGAATACGATGGATGATGCTTTCGTCCATGGTTTTGTAGAGTTCCCTCAGTGTTCACGTTGTATCAGAGCATCCGATAAAATATGGGGGATAGCATTAAATGTGGAGATGCCGATGACAAAAAAGACAAATATCCTCTACAATTAATAATAATTGTCTCAATTTTGTTTAACAAAATTATATAAAAGAAATGTGTATATTACCATATCTCTGCTGCACACCTTATAACTGCATATAATAAACCTTAATCATTATGACATCTTCGAGGAGACATCATGAGAAGTATATAAATAAATATATATAATTTCTCAATGATAAATTAAGACATCAAGACGTCCCCAAGAAACTTGCAGAGTATTCAAAATTATTTTTTTCCTTAATGCAAAAGTATTTACTACTTGGTTTCATATCAAAATTAAAGTTAAATTTTTTTTTTCCAAAAAATTCACTTATTTTTACTTTTACCTAATAACACTTATTTATTTCTTAAAAGATAGAAATTATTCTTGACTTTTTTGTCCTATCGACTATTACTCGTTTTCATGGCCCATTATCCATACTTATATATCTCATTGTCCTTGCTCATATATTTCATCATCATATTCACCCGTGTGTCCTCGTCACTAATCTCTCTAGTACATCCTCGTTGTCATCCTTACCTGCATGCTCTTTCGTTATTTTCACATACACATACAATACTAATATTCACTTTGCTAACCCCCTCACTTGTCACTCTGCATCGCTCACTCCTTCCCTTCTTTGGCCTTTCTCCCAAACCCTTGTCATAATCGTTGAACACAAAAACAAGAGATCTTTCATCTTCCACATTCAATGATGAGACGATAACCAAGGATTCTTCCTCCCTCCTCCCTCAAGAGGCCTTGATACTCCGGAGTTTTTCTTACTTGATAATGCTAATTGATTTTGATTGCAACACACCATTAGATGGCATCAAGACTATCGTTGTCTTTGTCCACATGCTTTTGCAATCCTCGCGCTTACCCTCATTATTGTCCTCGTTGCCTCCAATCACGAAGCTGATAATAAGCGAGGAGGTGGTGAGAACGATAGTGAGGGTGAGAAAACATGAGCGAGAATGATGACAGAAAACAGAACATATGAGTGAGGATGAGACTAAGGTAATTTCATCTTTTAGAAAATGAGATAGAATATACTATAATAAATTAAAAATGGGCATTAATTGAAAAAAAATAAAAGTAAGAGACTTTTTACCATTAAAATAGTCTCATTTACATATAGTATATCTAACATAAAAATCCCTTTCATCATTGCAGATTGCCCTATTCGATAGATCAATTAAAAGGAACTGACAAAAAGAAAATAGTAAATTGTGATGTTACGATGGCCCTTAAAAAAACAAAAGTTCTTGATTTTTCTATAAAAATCATATTTTTCTTTGCATAAATTCCTCTTCAAAATATAAAAGAAAAGAAAGATAAAATAAGATTGGAAAAAATCTCCAATAAGATTTATCTAATGCTAAGATCAATGTTTGAAGAAAACAATAAAGCATAATTGAATTATCATTATTGACATTTGTTTGTTAACATAATGGTGGCAAGAGGGTAAGGTAAAGAAGTACAATCATTCACATTGACTATTAAGTTGTCGTTTAGGAACGTGGACAAGAATCGTCGCATTCCATCACAAATCTATCGGTCTTTACTCCATTCATTAAACGATCCTAAATCAAGCTTCTAGAATCCAATCTTTCCCATCAACCACACGGCAAATGGATAAAACGATCCTAAATCAAGCTTCTAGAATCCGATCATCCCCATCAACCACACGACAAATGGATAAAACGATCCTAAATCACGCTTCTAGAATCCAATCTTCCCCATCAACCACAAGGTAAATGGATATGGGTGAAAGCTCCCAAACAAAAAACAAAAAAAAAAGGAGGGGGTTCAGGAGATTGTGGGTATATTCATCAAACAAATCCAAAAAAAAATCCAAATTAAAGCCTAACTCTTTTTTTTTTGTGTATTAGGTATACTAATTTGATGATCAATTCAACACAATATATGTTAATATTATCTTAAATGTGTTATGTAGCTACACAAATCGAAAAGAATAATGACCGATGTCACAGAAAAGTAGTGTCCATTTAATTCGAAATTGTAATTTATATAAAAATTAAAAACGACTGATATATCACTATTAAAAGAAATTTTGGTTTTCAAACTCACATAAGAGATGTTATGAAAATATTTGATATTTTTGTCCTTAGTCACAATCTTGTTGATTTTGACTCAAGTCTATTATTTAGTATGGATCTATTATCGGGTGTAATCAATCTATTATCGAGTGTAATCGAATCTATTATATTGTGCAAGGATCCGAGCGAAGTAAGGTCAGAGGTGGAAGGAGGACCAATATTCTTTTTTTGTTCCAAAATTATAATTTGAGAATATTTTTGAGATAACTAATACTAGATTTGAAGAAATAGTTCGGATGATTCAAGAGTACCTAACAATATTATGAATGTCATATTGTAACTAGTAAAGTTTAAATTTGAAATATTTTTGTCTAATATGATTAGGAGAGATACAATCAAAGTTGATCGAAAGAGAGTGTTGGTGTAAACAACCTGGAGCCGTGGCCTCGGGGTCGACGTGGCTCGGTTCGGGTCCGGACGACGGGGATCTCTCCGGGGCGTTCCTCGAGCCCGCGGGGTCGGTCTGGTATGATGGTCCGATCGAGACGGGGTCGTCGTTTCCTCCGGGCAGGAACTCCTCGTCCGTGCGTCCGGCGGGGACCCTCAGCTTCGCATCTGCACAAAGGTCGGGTCGAGAAGCTCGACCTGACCCCTCCGATGATCAAGTTAGAGGATGTGGAGGGGGTTTTAGATGAAGAAGTGTTTTGCGTGTGTCTCCCCTCCCATTCTCTGATGAACGAGAGGGTATTTATAGGGAAACTTACTGTTGTTTGATGTGCCCGCCTACAGGAGGCAGGCTGATAGCGTCTGACATGGGCGTTGGCGTGACGTGAAGAACCGAGCCTGAGTAGGCGTTAATGCGCCTCGGCCGGTGTTCCGGTTCGGTTGACCGAGTGCAGTCGCGCCGATCGAGGCGTGAGACGTCGGCTGACGTCAACCGAGTCTTATCATAATTACTATCCTCATCATATTCTCCCCTCCGAAAGAAGCTATGCGTCGGTCGTTGTAACAGGAGTCCGAGACATGGCTTTAGCTTTCAGACGGGCTGGCTGCGCAGGCACGGTCTCGGGGAGCATGGAATCGAGGAGCACGACACAGGCGGGCTAGCAGCGCGGGTGTGATCTCAGGAAGCATGGAGCCGAGGAGCACGACGCAAGCGGGCTGGCCGCGCAGGTGTGATCTCGGGAAGCATGGAGCAGAGGAGCACGACGTAGGCGGGCTGGCCGCGTAGGCGTGTCTTGGGGAGCATGGAACCGAGGAGCACGACGCAGGCGGGCTGGCTGCGTAGGTGTGATATCGGGAAGCATGGAGCCGAGGAGCACGACGCAAGCGGGCTGGCCGCGTAGGCGTGTCTCGGGGAGCATGGAGCCGAGGAGCACGACATAGGCGGGCTGGTCGCGCAGG